GAAGACCAACATTCATCACCGAAGTTGCGTGTTGCAAGCGATGCTGTGTCATGTCGCTAATGTTTGGCTTGGCGAGGTTCTGCGGCCGCTTCGGCAGCCGCGCAAGAGGAAGCAGGCTTACCGGCCAGCGGCGCGGCATGCATGAAGATGTGGCCCTGGATGCGGGACCTGCCCAGCAACATCTGGGCAGGCCGCGGCTGGGCCTACGATGAGCAGAGCGGCCCAAGGCGCATGTCCTCCGCAGGTGGTGCGGACGCCATGAAAGGCGTCCAGGTCTGGGAGTCTATTGGCACGGCCGAGCAGCCAGCTGCAGCTTTGGAGCAGCCCCGGCCTGTCGACGGAGCTGCGCCTGGCCAAAGTGCGAGTCTAGTGCCAGCTGTCCCAAACCACGGGGTGAAGCCGGCGCGGGTTCTGTCCAAACAGCAGGAGAAGCAGAGTGGGGTTCCTGGCATTAGTTGGGATTCAAGCAGCTTCCGTTGGCAGCTCAGATGGACTGAGACAGGCCAAAAAGGGGGAGAAGCTGCTCGCCACATCCAAAATTTCAGCGCCAGCGGCTTCATGAAGGATGGCCTCAACGAGGCGGAAGCCGAGGCCGCCGCCCTGGAGGCCGCCAAGGCCTTCCGCGCGCAGCTGGTGGCCCAGGGCCGCATCAAGGAGAAGCTCCGGGACCAGAGCCTCACTTCCGACGTGCCCGGGGTGAAATTTGCAAAGGCGAGCAAGAAGTGGCAGGTAGTGATCCCCAAGCCCGGCGGAAGGAGAATCCAAGGCGGCTACTTCAAGGAGAAGGCCGAGGCGGAGGCGAGGGCCCTGCAGCTGCGGGAGCTCCACGGCTTGCAGCGCACTGTGAAGGCCTGCGCCTCCCGGGATGAGTTGCGGGTCTTCCAGCCCAAGGTGCCGTTCCTCGGTGTTTTTTGGGACCGTCAGAACCAGGGTTGGCGGGCTGACACGGGGGGAAAGAATCGGAAGCAAGGAGGCTTCAAGCCCCTGGATCACTCGGAGGCGGAGCTCGAGAAGGCCTTCGCGAAAGCCGTGGCCTGGGTCAAGAAGCAGCGGAAGGAGATGGCATCCCAGGGCATGGCAGCGAAAGGAAAGAAGGGGAAGAGCAAGAAGGCGTGAGAAGACGCTGCATGCCGCGCCAATACACCTGCGAAAAGACGAACCAACCGCCCTACTGCCCTACTTGAGTCACCCCTGCGCCAGTCCCTCCCTTGCCATCCCTTGGCCACCCTGGGGCCATGTGATTGTGAAGTTTGGCTTGGTTTTTAGTCGGGTCGTACCGGTATGCAAAGGGCCCATCCACAGGTTTCGTCTAGACATCCTGGTTGAACTCGTCTCCCAAACCCATTTAGATCGAACGTTTGAGAGAGAACCATGGAGGTTTTTTCATTTGCAGGTAAGTCGGGGGGCTGTTCCCCTCCCACTAAACCCGGCGATAACATGACCCGTTCTGTGCAGCCCATGCCTTTCCATCATGCCGCAGCCGAGGTCTGGCAGCTGAGCTGCGGCAGCGGGTGGCAGGGGCCCCAAGGATGCGGCGCTCTTTTTAAGGGGGTCGGGTCGGGCGGGGGTGGGGTCAGAGCGCGAGCAAACAATCCGAGCGCACCACAAACACCTCGGCACCTGGGCTGCTTTCGGACTACCCTTTGGAACAGCTTTGTTGGTTTCTGCAGGTTGCTTCGGCATTCTTGTCTGCACATTATGTCAAGGGTCCACTCTAATTCCTTGGGTGTTGTTTGCAATCATTGGCGAGAGTGCAGCGCACCTCTGGGGCCCGAGTTCGAGTTTCATTCTGTAGTTGAAGGGGCTCCGCATGTTGTACTTGGCGGGCAGGGGCTTGCAAGAGAGAGAGTTGGACGGGTGTTGTGTTCCGAATATGGTGTGACAGTTAGGTTTTTCTTGTTTAGAAACCCATTTCTGTTTGGTTTTGAAGAGAAACCAATTTGGAAGCCAACTACATTGGAAGTCTGCTTTTCCATGGACGTGTCCCGTCAATTGAAAGCGAGAGGTCGGATCAAGTAGTGTGAGGAACCCGACATCCGGCCCAGTTGGCTCAAACAAACCTTCTGCATACTGTGGATGGACGAAATCCTGCACCAAATTTAAACCATGGTTGCTGTGGGTGGCGCGAAAAATGAGTGATCCCTGCAGGCTTTCTGGAAATCGGACCCCTGAAAAAAAGGGGCCCCAAAAAACGACACCCATTCACAGGGTGTCCTCCATTTCCCTTGTTGGAACCTTCAAAAGTGGCAGTTTCAATGGACACCACCAGTGAATTGCCAAAAGTAAAAGAGTAAGCCCCTCCCCAAAAACAATATCTCCAAAACGTGCTGGTTCCTTTTTTTCCTTTTTGTTGCTCGAAAACCCGCAAAAACCACGAACCCGTGCCCCCTGGCTCGACGCTGTGACTCTGAGGCGCAGGTCCAGGCGATGGAAGCCAAGCAGCGGCAGATGGAGTCGGAGCTGCAGGAGCTGCGTTTGGGGCCGACCCGTTGCTCAGCCCAAAGCCACCGTGTTAGGTAGGTGGGGGGGGGGTGTGAGTGGGGGGGAACCACACCCCCAAGTCTTCAGAAATGGCACGTCATGAGTTGCTGGTTGGGGGGGGGGTTAAGGCTTAGTGTTTTGCATAGGAATATGCGCGCTCTTGCTTATGCAGTTTGTGGATGGAACCGGGAAGACTGGTCAAACAAGTTGCAGCGTTTTCGCCCCAAGTGGAGGTTGCTGAACTTCTGAGCCTGCTCATGTTTGCTGGAAGTATGGCTGTCTAACCTCTAGCGGGACATCCGCTCACATAATTGTTCATGTTAACGTTCACTACACAAGGACCGCATTCCGACAATGCGGAACGATGACCACAGCCGCCAGGAGTTGCGAGCTGGCAGGCGACCCGCGACCCGGGTCTGGGCAGTGGGGGGTGGGGTGACTGCCGTCCATGATGGCGACCTGGGAGAGGGGGGGAGCTGCGAGTTCCTCGGCTTGTGCTTGCGCAAGGTGGTTCGTGATTTTGTAAGTTGTTTGTTGTTTCAAGCGGATGTTGATGTTAAAGGGTAAAAGTCATTGCCAGCATGTATCGTTTTTGCTTGACAACTGGGAACGGCCTTGCAACAGCGGGTTCCTGATTGGAGCTCGGCAAAACCGTGTTTTCATGGATTTGCCGCCCTATTTAAGGTTGGTCAGGTACTGAGCTGCCAGGACACCATGTCGCTCGCAGGCTGGCCACCTCAAAAGAAATTTGGTCAGAATCCCCTTTGCAGGTGTTGGGTTTTCTTGTTTTCTCCTTTCGGTTCAGTTGCTTTAGCAAGGCTTTTTGTTTGCCACCATCAAGACTTGGCAGGGGGTGCGATTGCGGGCTGCCAATGGCCTCGCACATCCGCGAGCAGTGGAAGCACTCCCACTCTTCGCTTTGGTGCACTCATCTTTGGCGTCCTCTTGTTGTATTTGTTTCTTTTCGCGGGTTTTTGGATTTCTCCCCCTTTGCAATCGTTTGCACGGTACTCGTGATGGGAAACCACCGCTACATTGAGTTGGTTTGCAACCGAATGCCCCCCAAACAAAGAAAGTTGGACGTGCTCAGGCCTCCCAGTTCACTAGATTTAGCCTTTGTTCCATTTGTTGGTGGGCTCCCTACTTGCGATTCCTTCGACCACAAGAAGAACAAGAAGTCGTTCCACTCTGCGAGGGTCACTGAACCCAGGGTGTGTGGGCAGAGGGTGTGTGGGCAGAGGGCTATGTTGGAACAATCGAACCACGGACTTTTTGGGAAGAGTCGTGGGAGCCTGGATATCGTTGCTGTTACCGCCATCTCATGTGCCAGTCATTTCGCCCTGAGCAGTGCGCCAGCCTGGTCAAACCCATTCAACAGGCGTCCTGAGTGATTCATGCTTCTGTTTGATAAACCATTGGTTTGTGATGTCCTTATGACCCAACGTGTTTTTTGGTTTTGGAGTTTAGGTGAGAGAGAGCTTGTTTTTGGGAGTTCTGGATTAGATGGATCGTTTCATACACCTCTTGCGATTTCCCCGGGACCGACCCGGACCCCCGCCAGGCCTGCTTCGGACCGCGGCCGGCTCAGAGGTCGTATGGTGACGGGCTCCCACCAGGAAGAAGTCAGAGGTCGGGACATGCGCAGGTGGCACCCAGTCTTTTTCGGGGTGGCATCACCTCTGGCACGCTGTGAAGCTAGAAGGAATGTTTTTTTTGTTTAATGACTTCAGCAGTTGCGTCGGCATTCTGGAAAGTACGCATGGGAATTGTTAGGAGAGTTGAAAAGCCTTGGCATGGGACGTGCTGTCATTGCATGTTTGAACTGTAGCCTTGCACGCTTGTCGCAGCAGTTTGAGCTCCACTGGAGCATTGCCACGACCGGAAAGCTTCGTGCCAGATTTTCCGCTCCACGTGGCGCGGCAGGCATGAAGGTGGAGAAGATCAAGGAGGAGATTTCGGAGCAGGTTGGACTCGCGCCCGGCATCAAGCTCGAGTCTCCAATCAAGAAAGAGCTTTGCCAGCCAGGCGAGGATTCCGTTCAGCCGGTGAAGCGTCGGCGCCTTCGGCGTCACGACATGCATGTGGGCCAGAATGTGGCCGCTGCCTGCGGGAAGATTGAAACAAAAGAGGAGGGAGGTGACTTGCACAACTTTTGGCTGCAGGTGAAGCAGGAGGTCAAAGAAGAAGCGCAGTCGATGGATGAGGAAAGCCTGATGGAAGGCTGCTTCACAAAGGACGCTGGGGTGTGCAAGATCGAAGCAGGCATGGCGGTCAAAGAGGAGCATGCAGAGAGAAGCCACCAGGCTGGGCATGAATGCCAGCCAAAGCTACGCCTGCATGAACGTGGCTTGTTTGCCACTTTGTTTACTGTCAATAGAGTGGTTGGACTCCAAACTGCTTCGAAGAAGCTACGGATAATTGGGAAAATGCAGAGCAGATTGCCGAACTTTGGGACACACGCTGTTTGCCATGCCTTAATGTCAACATTTGCTGATGCTTCGATGCTTTCCCTGCATCAGGTCGCAAGTGAAGCTGTTGCCCCAATCACCGTGAAGGCTGAGCCCCAAGCAGGAGGATCCGTCTCCAAGCTGGAGAAGGTGAAAATGGAGCCGGCAAGATTGCCAGAGGCCTCAACCGCTGGCGTGGTGAAAGTGGAGCCGGGCTCCTCAGCAGAGGCTCGCCCTCAACGGACCGACCCTGCCGATGGCAAGCCGGCCCCGCCGGAGTTTGAGGAGCAGGTGGCTTTGTGGGCCCGACAATGCGCCGAGTTCCGGAAGAGGGCCACTTGGATGCCCACAAGGCCTGGTGGAGGATTTCAAGAAGAAGCTCGTTTAGGGCCTCTGAAAGTGGACATGTTGAAGGGTTTCAATATGACTCTTGGGAGATGGTTTGCAACTCAGTCCATGTCAATGGTGAGGCTCGCACTTTACTGGATCCAGGTCCTTGAAACGCACGGTCTCAGCATGCCTCGTCGTTTCCATTCGCAGGCCCTGCTGTCCGGCGAACGTCTTCTTCAGCAACCCGGTGGCGCCACAGGAGAACGACCCGCCCTGCGTGCAGCGCTTGTCCCAGAAGGAGCTGAGCTGCCTGCGGCGGTTCTTCGAGCGTGGACATCCCGTTTTTTCCGCTGCACTGGAGACTGGCCCAACGGCAAAGGTCCCAACACGCGCGGTCTCAGGCTGGGCGGGCATGCGTCAAACTTTGCAAGGGGGCTGGACTTGTTTGGGCATCAAGTAGTAGATGCCCGTTCAAGAGGGTTAGACCTGATTGAGCATGAAGCACTGTTTGTGGCATCTCTGATAGTGCAAGTGATTTTGGTAGCTGGTGATGTCACATTTTGCCAATTAGTTGTTTGGAACATGACTTTTTCCCCACGAACCATTTGTTGTTTTAGTCAGCTGGAGGTTGGACATTTGAAGACCAACATTCATCACCGAAGTTTCGTGTTGCAAGCGATGCTGTGTCATGTCGCTAATGTTTGGCTTGGCGAGGAGCTGCGGCCGCTTCGGCAGCCGCGCAAGAGGAAGCAGGCTTACCGGCCAGCGGCGCGGCATGCATGAAGATGTGGCCCTGGATGCGGGACCTGCCCAGCAACATCTGGGCTGGCCGCGGCTGGGCCTACGATGAGCAGAGCGGCCCAAGGCGCTTGTCCTCCTCAGGTGGTGCGGACGCCATGAAAGGCGTCCAGGTCTGGGAGTCCATTGGCACGGCCGAGCAGCCAGCTGCAGCTTTGGAGCAGCCGCGGCCTGTCGACAGAGCTGCGCCTGGCCAAAGTGCGAGTCTAGTGCCAGCTGTCCCAAACCACGGGGTGAAGCCGGCGCGGGTTCTGTCCAAACAGCAGGAGAAGCAGAGTGGGGTTCCTGGCATTAGTTGGGATTCAAGCAGCTTCCGTTGGCAGCTCAGATGGACTGAGACAGGCCAAAAAGGGGGAGAAGCTGCTCGCCACATCCAAAATTTCAGCGCCAGCGGCTTCATGAAGGATGGCCTCAACGAGGCGGAAGCCGAGGCCGCCGCCCTGGAGGCCGCCAAGGCCTTCCGCGCGCAGCTGGTGGCCCAGGGCCGCATCAAGGAGAAGCTCCGGGACCAGAGCCTCACCTCCGACGTGCCCGGGGTGAAATTTGAAAAGGCGAGAAAGAAGTGGCGGGTAATGATCCCCAAGGCCGGCGGAGGGAGCATTTGTGGCGGCTGCTTCACGGAGAAGGCCGAGGCGGAGGCGAGGGCCCTGCAGCTGCGGGAGCTCCACGGCCTGCAGCGCACTGTGAAGGCCTCCGCCTCCCGGGAGGAGCACGCTGCCGCGGTGGCGCAGCTCCCGGTCTTTCAGCCCAAGGTGCCCTTCCCGGGCGTCAATTGGGAACGCAAAAAACAGTCATGGCACGCTCAGCTCACGCGCAACAAACGCAAGAAGGATTCGAGGTTCAAGCCCCTGGACCACTCGGAGGCGGAGCTGGAGAAGGCCTTCGTGAAAGCCGTGGCCTGGCTCAAGAAGCAGCGGAAGGAGATGGCATCTCAGGGCATGGCAGCGAAAGGAAAGAAGGGGAAGAGTAAGAAGGCCTGAGAGAATTCCTGGCAAACATGAGGAGTTTGAGTCATTCGCGAAAAGGGGCAGGGGCAGGCTTGGCGACAGCTCTTGGGCACTCGTCCATCTCTATGTTTTCCCACCAGACACTGCTTTGGTTCGTGTTATTCACTCCGGTGTTCGGCTGACTTGGCTGAATTTTAGGTAGCACACGGCCGGGGGATAGCCCAAAGCAACAAGCAAATGACTAGACTGACTAGATGTTGAAGAAGCTGCAAAGCCTTAGATTGGCAATCCGTCTCGGTTAAGTTCTGTATGCGCGTTTGACCATCCCAACCCGCTTTGGCCACTGCTCAATTACCATGCCATCCCACTCTAGCCAGCCTACCCCATCACATTTGGTCTTTTGGAAGTGGGAACGCCCCAGTAGGGGTTCTTTTAGGACTGCAGGGAGGCCTATGCGGGTCGGCTGTTCCCATCCCCTGCGTGTTCTGGCTATTTTGCGAGGCATTTGTTGTGAAGACATCGTATGGAAGTCAGCCCAGGTTCTGCCAATCGGTCAGTCATGAATTGAAAGTATGTCATGATTCAAAACTTCAGCATTGGTTTTTCCAACTAACATTTTGTACCCATTTCATCCAAGCGCATGTCTCGAACACCCTTCGACATGCACCCTTCTCACCCGGCCGTGTCATTAACACGTGTTTTGTTTCAAAGAATAAAACATATAATGATAACAATAAACATGATCATAATGATAAATCTACTAATAATATGTGTATATACATATATATATATATACATGTTCGACATCCCCTCGTTCCCCTCCTTCCTCTCAGCCCGTCAGCCCCCGAGTCTCGAGGTCTGGCGCCGGAGCTGCGGCGGGTGGCCGGGACGCCCAGCCGCAGGTTTCAGGGCGCAAGTTTCGGTCTACCACTGGGTATTGACCCCATTCAGGCACATTTCCGGATAAAACCGTGTTACTTTGAACCATTCTGGATAGTTTTTCAAGGGTGTACTCCCAGGGTGTAATACAAAGAACCCTCAGATTCGGTTTCGTCCTCGTCGCTGGTTGTGCTGTGACCATTTGACTTCATGGACACCCTCCCTTATGAACAAACCGGGGTTGATTAATATGAGGTCAACATTAGTTGGGGTTGGTTGCCATGTGGCTTGGCGGTTGCCAGCCGTCCGGTTCAACGTAGCTTTTGAGCTTTTTAGCTTCTTAGCTTCTTCGGGTTTGGTGGTGGCTTCCAGAGAACCCAGTGATTGTCGCACATTGTTTGAAGGGAAGCGGAAAACGGACAGCCCACAAAAGTGGGACACAGCAAGTGTGTTACCTTTTTTGGCCGATCCACTCAAGTGAGCCAAGTTGAGCAAAGTTACTGCAAAGGAAGTGGGGAACCCCATGAAGTTGATGACATCGGGCATTCGGCCCTGGCACTTGATCCCCAAACAAAGGCGTGGGCATGTCCCGCCAGGAGTTGCGAGCCGGCAGGCACGGGGACTGACTGCTGACGGCAACAAAGTGTGTACATATGACCCGGCACAGGGGCAGCAACTTCCTTACTTTCCATGTGCTTAATTGAGGCTGTGCGTGGTGTCTTTGAGCCTGTCGGTTCTTTGGCTTTCAAGGCATGTATAATAGGTTCTGACAAATGTGTTGTTGCTTTGTGGCACCTTAAGCAAAGCGTTCGCGATGTCGACCGAGCGCGAAATGTGGGGGGCATGGTGGTGACCTCCGGGCTGCCAGCTGAAACCTCCCGCGTTCCCGTCAGCAAATCTTTACCGCCTTAAGACCCAATGTGGATCCCAGATGTAAAAACCTGACACATGAATCTGCATAATGTATGGCGAGCTCACCGATCGATCCTTTGCTTAGGTATCCAACTCGTATTTTAGGTGGGGCAGGGGGAGGGGGGTGTTAAGGGGTGTTAATCAACCACAGGGGTTTATTGATCCGAAGTTCCCTTTAGATGGTTCCTTGGTTCCTTGCCATTGGATTTCCTTGTTTGCTGGCGTGCTGCGCTGTAGGACGTCCTGCGAGTCCTGCGAAGGGTTGGCAGTTTGAAAGTCGCGGGAAACCAACCAGGACCCCCGAAGGTTCCACGTTAATGGGTGGGTATGGGTTTGTGCTTGGGATCCCCGTTTTTGGAGTTGGCTGAGACAACGGGAAACCACACGGAATCCTATACCATTTTCGGAGTTCCCCCTATGTTGACAGTGCCATGTTGGTTGTACCGTAGCAGGCTGTCTTTGGTTCGCATCGCCGGGGCCAAAGGTGGGGGAGGGCAGGTCGGAGCACCTGTGAGGACCATCGCTCCAACGCTTTGCTGTGGGCATACTTGCCGTTCTCTAGCTGTTAGCTTCTTCTGGGCTTAGGGGTGTTCATGTTTCTTGTTGTTCATTCTTTTCCGCGACTTTCACGTCTCTCCTTCGGTCGGGGAAGTCTAAATAAACGAGTTTTGGTCGATGGGAGTCTGAGTTCTGTCAAGTGTCGACGGCACCTGGCCTGTGCGAGCGCCGTCCATGAGCCGGTGACTTGTCAGGTTCCTTGCGCCAGCCAGGTTTTCAAGGCGAACACGAGTCACGCGACCCCAGCGCCGCCCCGGATTCGCAAAACTTCCCTGCCAGGGCCTCCCTCAGTTCCCTCAAAAACCGCAAGAGCAGCTTAGAATGCAATTGCTAGTGTTGTGACCTATATTTACAGTTTTACTGTCTCGGGCATTTTGTACTATGTTGGCATATGTTGGCTTTCATTCCTCATTGCCACCATACGTAGGCGTGAGGCCTTGAAGGGCGGCTTGGTATATGGGTTGACTTCCTCGTGAGGTGCCCAGGCCATGGGAGCAACTCCCCCACGCCCTTAGGGCCGGAAAATGGGAAAAACGTCCGAAAGTGCTCTCCCCGCTCCCCCACACAAAAATGTAGGGAGACGGTGTAGCGGTCAAACCAACCCCTCGGAGGCCGAGGCGACACCATGCCCATCTCTTCGCTCAGCCGAAGCGCCCTCCCCGGAAAGCAAGTAATGAGAGAGCCCAACGTGATTGATTCCGAAGCTTGTGTGAAGGCACCATGGTTACTAGTTGGAGTAAGGTTTTGAGTGGTATCCGGGTATCCTCCTGTTTTGGCGTGGTTCAAAGGGGGGTACCACAAAATTGTTGGTTGTAGAGTCCATATTTTCCCGAGACTAGTGTTACCCATGAGCAATCAGCGGGCGCCCCGCACTCGGCACAGCATACGCCAGGCCTTCCTCGAATTTGAGCCACCAGCTCAGACGCCGTATCTTTGGTGCATTTTGTTTGGATGTTAGGACCAACTTTTTGCCAACTAACAAACTTGTAGCAAAGGAGCAGAAAGCAACCGAGGCTGTTGCCAACCCACATGAAGAAATTGAAGTCTGAGAAATGTTCCCTGGGTTGATATCCAGTCTTTTTGGGCTTTAAATATGGCACCTGTTGCAAGCATCACCTGTTGGAAGCATCACCTGTTGCAAGCATCACCTGTTGCAAGCATCACCTGTTGCAAGCATCACCTGTTGCAAGCATCACCTGTTGCAAGCATCACCTGTTGCAGGCATCACCTGTTGCACCCTTGGAATTCAAGAAGAGCGCACAGTCCGGGCGTGAAAGGTGCTGTCATTGCATGTTTGACCTAACTTTGCATTTGTCGGTGTGATGCTGAGTTGCTAGCGTCCGCAGCATTTAGAGCTCCACTGGAGCATTGCCACGACCGGAACGCTTCGTGCGTGATTTGGGCGGCATGCAGGCATGAAGGTAGAAAAGATGAAAGAGGAGAAGGTGGCGGAGCAGGTGCTCGAGTATCCAATCAAGACAGAGCTTTGTCAGCCAGGCCAGGATTCCATTCAGCCTGTAAAGCGTCGGCGCCTTCGGCGTCACGATACGCAGGTGGGCCGGAATGTGGCCGATGCCAGTGGGAAGATTCACACGAAGAAGGATGTCCTTGACTGGCACAGCTTCTGGCTGAAGGTGAAGCACGAGCTGAAAGAACAAGTGAGGTCGATGGATGATGAAAGCCTGAAGAGAGGCGGCTTCACAAAGGAGGAAGATGCGGGGGTTTGCAAGGTTGAAACAGGCACAGCGGTGAAAGCCGAGCATGCAGAGAGCAGCCACCAGGCTGGGAATGAATCTTGGCAGCCAAAGCTACGCGAATGCGTGCTTTGTTTGTTGCCAGTATAGTGTTTGTTTACCGACCTGTTTTAAAGAAGCTACGGAATTTGGGACAATGCCAAGCAGATTGCATAGTTCCATATTTTGAGACAATCTTGAGCTGCATTCTTGGCTGCCAACACCTACCGCTGCAGACATGTGGTGCCATGCTTTCCTGTGAATCAGGCCGGAAGTGCAGCCATCGCCCCAACCAGCAGTTCGGGCGCCGCAGAAATTGGACTCCGAGCCGGAGAATCCACGACCAGCACCACCAGGCTGGAGGAACAGAAAGTGGAGCCGGGAAGTCCGCCAGACGCCTCCACCGGTGTGGTGAAGGTGGAACCGTCCTCGGAACCGACTGACTCTCGATCGGCCGATGGCAAGCTGGCCGCGGCGGAGTTTGAGGAGCAGGTGGCTTTGTGGGCCCGGCAATGCGCCGGGTTCCGGAAGCGGGCCACTTGGATGCCCACGAGGCCGGGTGCAGGATTTCAAGAAGAAGATTCGTTTGGGCCTTGAAAGTGAACCTGTTGAAGGGCTCTCAAAATCACTTTTGGGAATGAATTCAACTTCAAACACAAATCAGATGCCAATTTTGCAACTGTGACTTCAGTGGATCCAGTTCGCATGCATTTGGATGAAATGCATGGTCTCAGCATGCCTCGTCGTTTCCATGCGCAGGCCCTGCTGTCCGGCGAACGTCTTCTTCAGCAACCCGGTGGCGCGGCAGGAGGAGGACCCACCCTGCGTGCAGCGCTTGTCCCGGAAGGAGCTGAGCTGCCTGCGGCTGTTCTTCGAGCGTGGGCATCCCCTGTTTTCCGCTTCACTGCGGACTGGCCCAGCGACCAAGGTGCCAACACCTACGGTCTCAGGCTGGGCGGGCATGCATTGAGTTGGCCATTCTGCCACTTGCACGTGGCGCTTGCACGTCGCAAGGCGCTGGACGTGTTAGCACATCAATTAGTGGACGCCCAGTCTCAAGGGTAGACCTGCTCGAGCATGAAGTACTTTCCGTGGTACTTGTTTTATTATTTCGTGTTGCAAGTGAACTTGGTAGTCGTTGGATTTCACATTTCGCCATTTAGTTGTTGGAACATGACTCTTTCACAATTAGCCATTTCATATCGGTTGGATGTTGGTCATGTGAGCTGAGCACCAACACTTCTCACCGCATTTTGTATTTCAAAGCATGCTGTGTCAAGCTGCTCATGTTCAACTTAGCGAGGTGCTGCGGCAGCCGCCACGCAACAGGAGGTAGGCTTACCAGCCAGCAGCTCGGCAAGCATGAAGATGTGGCCCTGGATGCGGGACCTGCCCAGCAACATCTGGGCTGGCCGTGGATGGGTTTACGATGAGCAGAGCGGCGCAAGGCGCTTGTCCTCAGCAGGTGGTGCGGACGCCATGAAAGGCGTGCAGGTCTGGGAGTCTATTGGCACGGCCGAGCAGCCAGCTGCAGCTTTGGAGCAGCCGCGGCCTGTCAACGGAGCTGCGCCTGGCCAAAGTGCGAGTCTAGTGCCAGCTGCCCCAAACTACAGCGTGAAGCCTGTGAAGGTACTGGCCAAACAGCAGGCCAAGCAGAGTGGGGTTCCTGGCATTAGTTGGCATTCAAGCAGCTTCCGTTGGCAGCTCCAATGGACTGAGAAAGGCCAAACAGGGGGAGAAGCTGCTCGCCACATCCAAAATTTCAGCGCCAGCAGCTTCATGAAGGATGGCCTCAACGAGGCGGAAGCTGAGGCTGCCGCCCTGGAGGCGGCCAAGGCCTTCCGCGCGCGGCTGGTGGCCAAGGGCCGCATCAAGGAGAAGCGCCGGGGCGAGAGCCTCACCTCCAACGTGCCTGGGGTGGCTTTCAAGAAGGCGAAAAAGAAGTGGAATGTCGAAATTTCCAGGCCCGGTGGAAGGAGAATCCAGGGCGGCTGCTTCACGGAGAAGGCCGAGGCGGAGGGCAGGGCCCTGGAGCTGCGGGAGCTCCACGGCTTGCAGCGCTCCGTGAAGGCCTCCGCCTCACGAGATGAGTTGCCGGTCTTCCAGCCCAAGGCGCCGTCTCCTGGTGTCAGTTGGGAACGCCAAGCACAATGCTGGCACGCTCAGCTCACGCGCAACAAACGCAAGAAGGATTCGAGGTTCAGGCCCTTGGACCACTCCGAGGCGGAGCTGGAGAAGGCCTTCGCGAAAGCCGTGGCCTGGCTCAAGAAGGAGCGGAAGGAGATGGCATCTTAGGGCATGGCAGCGAAAGGAAAGAAGGGGAAGAGTAAGAAGGCCTGAGAGAATTCCTGGCAAACATGAGGAGTTTGAGTCATTCGCGAAAAGGGGCAGGGGCAGGCTTGGCGACAGCTGTTGTTTTTTCTTATTTTTTTGTTTTTTCTCAAGTTGCCTGCTTGAGTGCTTTTGTTCATATTGTTCACTCCGATGTTTGGCTAGTTTGGCTGGATTTCAGGTAGCGAACGGGCGGGGGTTTTCCCAGAGCAACAAGCTAAAGGACTAAATGTTGAACAACATCAAAGCTGCGGAGCCTCTGATTGGCAATCCGTCTCGGGTAAGTTCCAACAGCGTATTTGACCATCCCCACCCCTTCTGGCCACTCCTCAATTACAATGCCATCCCACTCTAGCCAGCGGACTGCAGGGAGGCCTATGCGGGTCGGCTGTTCCCATCCCTTGCGTGTTCTGGCTATGCAAGGCATTTGTTGTGAAGACCTCGTATGGAATTCAGCCCAGGTTCTGCCAATCGGTCATTGATTCAACTTAAGCACCGTTTCTTCCATCTAACTTCTTGGTACCCATTTCATCCAAGCGCATGTGACTCGAATCCCCTTCGACACGCACCCTTTTCACCCGGCCATGTAATTAGCACGTGCTTTGTAGAAAGTAAAACAGAACATTAGTAAAGAATAATAATAATAATAGATAGATATATTTCTGTGTCCGACGTCCCCTTTCTCCGACCCCTGAGCCTCTCAGCCCCTCAGCCCCTCAGCCCCTCAGCCCCTCAGCCTCTCAGCCCCGCAGCCCCTCAGCCCCTCAGCCCCCGGGTCTCCGCAGCTCGAGGTCTGGCGCCAGAGCTGCTGCGGGTGGCCAGGGGCCCCCAGCCGCGCCTTGGGACGCAGGTTTCAGGGCACAAGTTTGGGTCTACCACTGGGTTTTGACCCCATGGATCTTTGGACTTTACTTTTTGGATTCCCCTCATATTTCCTTTTGATCAGCAAAAAGCTAAACTTTTGCTGGGGGATCTCCAGCACCCAAGATTTAGGCACATTTCCGGATAAAGCCGTGCTATTTCGAACCATTCTGGATAGTTTCCCAAGGGTGTACTCCCAGGGTGTAATACAAAACCCTCAGATTCGGTTTCGGCCTCGTCGCTGGTTGGGCTGTGACCATTTGACTTCATGGACACCCTCCCTCATGAATAAACTGGGGTTGGTTCATATGAGGTCAGCGTCAGTCACTTGTTGGGGTTGGTTGTCATGTGACCTGACGATTGCCGGCCGTCCGTTTCAACTTGGCTTTTTAGATGATTGATTTGGGTGGTGTTCCATTGAACCCGCTGATTGTCACACATTTTTTGCAGGGGATCTGAAAACGGACCGCCCACTTTCGTGGCGAATAAACAGTTCGTTTTAGACCCATCCACTCAAGTGAGCCAAGTTGCGCAAAGTTACCGAAAAGGAAGCAGGACCCCCCTCAACCTGAGTATGAGACCTTTGTCCGGTCCAGAGCTGGGGAGCTGCCATTTCTAAAGATGAAGATTAGGTTTGTTCGTTGAAGATGAAGTCTCATGATTGTTGAGGGAGTCTTTTCATTTCTCAGCGGAATGAATAGGTAAAACCTCGCCTTGGCACCAACAAGCATGGAAGTTGGTGGGAGAGGGGCACCCTTTTGCTAACTCCTTTGAATCCAGCCTCTTCAGAGGTCTGGTGCTCAGCATGTTTGCCATGATCAGGGGCACGCCCAGTAACAAGAAGGGTTCAGGCCAGGCCCCTGACAAAGGTGAAGTCAGATAAATAAGCGAATACTTTCGAAAACAATTGCCTTTTGAGTCTGACCCACGAGTTTGAGAGATCTGAAAATGAGCCGAACTCATTGTAGACTGTAGAATGTGTGCGTGTGTGTTGAAAGCTCTCGAAGGATGTCACATACTTGTGTCCCGCGTTTGAGGCAAACTCAAATTCAGCTGGCGTGTTTGGTGATGCAATGCGTCTGAATTTGAACTGGTGTGTCCTTTCTTCTCGCCTGGTTTTATCTGAGCTTTGAAAGTCATGGCCGCTTTCGCAAAAAAGGCATCTCGACTAAGAAGGATCAATTGCTCAAAAGAGGCACCCCAGGGCCTCGTGCATTTCTTAAGTTCCTTCCTTCGAGTTTCCTCTTGCGAGACCTAGGGGGCCAAAGAAACCATACACCACCCATGCTGGGATCTCCTTGGGGCAGAGAGCTTGGATTAGCTAAAGGCTGCCCTTCACCATACTGCCTACGAACCCTCGAGCTCACTGGAAACACGAGCCCGCTTTGGTCAATGTGCCAAGCGACTGGCAATGACATGTCCGTCTTGATACGGAAAAGCCAGGGAAAAGCGGGAGATGTTTTGTGGAGCCTTGCGTCCGAGGCGGAGGGCCAGGCAATGGAAGCCAAACACAGGAAGCTGGAGTCAGAATTGCAGGCTGGGGGGTCTTTTATTTCGAATCCGGGCCTACTGGGTTCCTACAATCAGGCACCCCATAGTTGGTGGTTTCTGGAAATGGAACCTTTTGGATGCAACAGCAGAGGGAGAGAGAGAGAGGGAGATAGTTGGTGGTTTGGATTGGTGGTTCCAGGGTTCGAACCCCATTTTGCGGCGACCGTTTTCTATACTGGGTTTCTCAGGGTCCCAATGTCCCTTAACCGCCAGTTTAAACATCACATTTCTCGTCCAGGTAACGGTTCAGGGAGCCATGTTCCTGTAGGTAAGCATTTTAAGGCTTCTTAAAAATACGTTTGGGTCCCTGGTGTTTCCTTGCAAACCAAAATTTAGAGGTTGATTCTTTTGCATCCCTGAAAACCACAATTTATTGTTCTGAGAACATCACTTGAACCCAGTACTACTTGGTTGGTATTTGCCAGTTTCGGAGACGTAAGGGAGTACAACTTCCCAGTGGTTCTAGGGTATCCTGCCATCTCATTTGGGAGAGTTGGCTTCTCTATCCCATTTAAACACCAAGTGGCCATTTGGCAGTCAGATTGTCCTTTATTGGCGGGGTGCTTCCTTGGCTTGGGGACTTGCACTCCTGGTTCTAAGCACCCCCAAGCAGCTGGGGTGTTAAAGAATGCCCGGGCATGCGGAGCAAGTGAAGGCTAGAGTGGCGTACCGCGTGGCTTCAAGGAGGCGTGTTTCTCTTTCGCCCCAAGGATATGGGGCTCTGATTTTCTGCCTTCTTTCCTGCGCTTTTGGGGGTCTGAATAGGGTCCAGCCGACATGAGGCATTCGACCCTGGCACTTGATCCCCAAACAAAGGCATGGGCATGTCCCGCCAGGAGTTGCGAGCCGGCAGGCGCGGGACTGACTGCTGACCGCAACAAAGTCTGTGGTACATGACCCGACGCAGGGGCAGCGATTTCCGCAATTTCCATTTGCTTAATTAAGGCCGTGTGTGTGTGTGTGGTGTTTTTTGGTTTGTCGGTTGTTTGGCTTTCAAGGCATGTTGGTTTTCAAGGGCAACGGTCATGACTGACTAGATCTGATGTCGACAAGCGCGAAATGTGGGGGGATGGTGGTGACCTCAGGGCTATCAGCTGAAACCTCACACGTTCCATCAGCGTTCTCTGTGGTTGTGAGGCTGTTTGCATGCTTTGGGTGCGGCACCGCAGTGTGGGGAAAACATCCTCTCCTTTGTCACCATTCAGTCTGGGGCAGCAGCAGCTTTGACGGCAGGCATGCGAGGACGCTCGCTCCAATTCTTTGCAGTATGCATGCTTGCCGTTCTGTAGTTGTTCTTGTGTTTGCCCATGTTTCTGGCTTCCTTTTCCGCGATGATCATTGTTCTCCTTTGGCGCAAGTCTCAGCAATTGACTGATGAGCCTCGGTCCGGTCAAGCGTCGACGGCACCTGGCCGGCGGGAACGCCTTCCATGAGCCGGTGACTCGTCAGGTTCCTTGCGCCAGCCAGGTTTTCAAGGAACCCGAACGGCGCGTCGCGCGACCCCAGCGCAGCCCAAAACTCCCAGGGACCCAGGGCCTGCCCAGGCCATGGTTTCAGAAGGATTCTTGGGAGGCTCTGGGAACAACATCCCCCACTCACTTAGGGTCCGAAAAAGGACGTCTGAAAAAAAGGACGTCCGAAAAAGGATGTCTTTGTTTGGCCCCCTTCCCCCCCCACAAAAACATGTAAGGAGACCCCCCCCCCCCCGAAATTGGGAGACCCTTTGACAGGCCCTTCTAAGAAAATGAGCTACAGAACATCGTGATGAGAGAGAAGTGTGTTCAAACCAACCCCTTTGCGGAGGCCTAATTGGGCGAAACCATGTGCACCCATCTCTTGGCTCAGCCGATTGACCCCCCCCCGGAAAGCAACCTCTTGTGAAGGCAACATGTTTACTAGTTGGAGCAAGGTTTTGAGTGGTATCCTCCTCGTTTGGTGTGGTTCAAAGCGGGTACCACAAAATTGTTTGCTGTTTTGTGGGAATCACTTTGTAGAGTCCACAATTTCCCTGGACTAGTGTTACCTATGAGCAATGAGAGGGCACCGCATGGCACCGCACAAACTGCTCAACATACGCCAGGCCTTCCTCGAACTTGAGCCACCAGCTCAGACGCCGTATCTTTGGTGCATTTTGTTTGGATGTTAGGACCAACTTGTTGCCAACTAACAAACTTTTAGCAAAGGAGCAGAAAGCAACCGAGGCTGTTGCCAACCCACATGAAGAAATCGGAGTCTGCAGAAATGTTTCCTGGGTTGATATCCAGTCTTTTTGGGGTTTAAATATGGCACCTGTTGCAGGCATCACCTCTTGCAACCTTGGAATTTAGAAGGGCGAGCTGTCCGGGCATGAAAGGTGCTGTCATTGCATATTTGACCTAGCTTTGCATTTGTCGGTGTGATGCTGAGTTGTCAGCGTCCGCAGCATTTAGAGCTCCACTGGAGCATTGCCACGACCGGAACGCTTCGTGCGTGATTTTCTGCTCGACATGGGCGGCATGCAGGCATAAAGGTAGAAAAGATCAAAGAGGAGAAGGTGGCGGAGCAGGTGCTCGACTATCCAATGAAGAAAGAGGATTGTCAGCCAGGCCAGGATTCCATTCAGCCTGTAAAGTGTCGGCGCCTTCGGCGTCATGATATACAGGTGGGCGAAAATGTGGCCGACAGCGAAAAGATGGACATAAAGAAGGAGAGCCTGGACTGGCACAGCTTCTGGCTGAAGGTGAAGCACGAGGTAAAAGAACAAGTGAGTTCGATGGATGATGAAAGCCTGAAGAGAGGCGGCTTCACAAAGGAGGAAGATGCGGGGGTTTGCAAGATCGAAGCAGGCACAGCGGTGAAAGTGGAGCATGCAGAGAGCAGCCACCAGGCTGGGCATGAATGCTGGCAGCCAAAGCTACACGAATGCTTGCTTTGTTTGTTGCCAGTATAGTGTTTGTGTACCAACCTGTTTTGAAGAAGCTACGGAATTTGGGACAATGCCAAGCAGATTGTAGATTTCCACATTTTGAGACAATCTTGAGATGCATGTTGCTTGCCATTCTTGGCTGCCAATACCTATCGCTGCAGACATGTGGTGCCATGCTTTCTGTGAATCAGGCCGGAAGTGAAGCCATTGTCCCAACCAGCAGTTCGGGCACCGTAAACATCGAAATCCAAACAGGACGATCCACCACCAAGCAGGAGGAACAGAAAGTGGAGACGGGACGTCCGCCAGACGCCTCCAACGGCGTGGTGAAGGTGGAACCGTCCTCGGAAGCGACTGAGTCTCGACCGGCCGATGGCAAGCTGGCCACGGCAAAGTTTGAGGAGCAGGTGGCTTTGTGGGCCCGGCAATGCGCCGGGTTCCGGAAGAGGGCCACTTGGATGCCCACAAGGCCGGGTGCAGGATTTCAAGAAGAAGATTGGTTTGGGCCCTGAACGTGAACATGTTGAAGGGTTCTCAAATTCACATTCGGGGATGGATTCAACTTCAAACACAAATCAGATGTCAATTTTGCAACAGTGACTTCAGTGGATCGATTTCGCATGCTTTCGGATGCACTGCACGGTCTCAGCACGCGTTCCCATTCGTAGGCCCTGCTGTCCGGCGAACGTCTTCTTCAGCAACCCGGTTGCGCCACAGGAGGAGGACCCACCTTGCGTGCAGCGCTTGTCCCAGAAGGAGCTGAGCTGCCTGCGGCGGTTCTTCGAGCGCGGGCATCCCATGTTTTCCGCTTCAGCGAAGACTGGCTCAACGGTGAAAGTCCCAGCAAGCCAGGCCTCAGGCTGGGCCAGGCATGAAATTGGTTTGTGTGCTACTTGCACGTTGCAAGGGGGGGACATGTTTGGACCTCAACTACTAAATGCCCAGTCAAGGGAGTTCGACCTGGAGACACTTTTTCTCGCTGTGCAAGTCATTTTGGGGGCTGTTTGATTGTACTTTTCAGTCCGATGGAGGTTGGACATGTGAGCACCACCATCTATCACTGCATTGTCCGTGTTAAGTGATGCTGTGTCATGCTGCTTATGTTTGACTTGGTGAGGTGCTCCGGCAGCAGCCGCGCAAGAGGAGGCAGGCTTGCCAGCCAGCGGCACGGCATGCGTGAAGATGTGGCCTTGGATGCGGGACCTGCCAAGCAACATCTGGGCTGGCCGCGGCTGGGCCTACGATGAGCAGAGCGGCCCAAGGCGCTTGTCCTCCGCAGGCGGCGCGGACGCCATGCAAGGCGTCCAGGTTTGGGAGTCTATTGGCACGGCCGAGCAGCCGCCGGCAGCTGTGGAGCAGCCAGGCAAGGGAGCCGTGACTGGCCAAAATGCGAGTCTAGTGCCAGCCCCAGCCCACAGCGTGAAGCCTGCACAGGTGAAGTCCAAGCAGCTGGCCAAGCAGAGCGGCGTTCCTAACATCAGCTGGCATCCAAGCAGATTTAATTGGCAGCTGGACTGGCGAGAAAGAGGCGAAGGAGAAGCTGTTGGCACTCGGCACGTGAAATCATTTGGCATCAGCAGCTTCATGAAGGATGGCCTCAACGAGGCGGAAGCCGAGGCTGCCGCCCTGGAGGCCGCCAAGGCCTTCCGCGCCCAGCTGGTGGCCCAGGGCCGCATCAAGGAGCGGGTCCAGGACGAGAGCCTCACCTCCGACGTGCCCGGGGTGAAATTCAGAAAGGGCAAGAAGAAATGGCAGGTCGAAATCCCCAAGCCCGGCAGTAAGCGCATTTGGGGCGGCTGCTTCACGGAGAAGGCCGCGGCAGAGGCGCGGGCACTGGAGCTCCGGGAGGTCCACGGCCTGCGGCTTTCCGTGAAGAGCACCGCCTCCCGGGCGGAGCGTGCCGCGGCAGCGGCGCAGCTGCCGGTCTTCCAGCCCAAGGTGCCCTTCCCGGGCGTTTTTTGGGACCGCTCGAACCAAGGTTGGCGGGCTATGACCAAAGACAAGAACCGGAGGTTCAGTGCCCTGGACCACTCGGAGCCGGAGCTGGAGAAGGCCTTCACGAAAGCCGTGGCCTGGCTCAAGAAGCAGCGGAAGGAGATGGCAGTTCAGGGCAGCGTTGCGAAGGGAAAGAAGGGCAAGAGTAAGAAGGCCTGAGAGGGTTCCTGGCAAGCATGAGGCGTTGCATGCCATTCTGATTGGCTGTAAAAAGGGGCAGGGGCAGGCTTGGTGCGAGCTCTCTTGCAGTTTGCCTACAGCACTGCAGTGCTCCTCGTTTTCTCTGTGTGTGTGTGTGTGCATGTTCTCCACTTCGATGTTGGGCTGGATTTCAGGAAGCACACGGGCGGGGGATAGCACCGATCCTTCGCCACATAAGAAAGCATGGTGCATCCTTGGTTGGTATTTGCGAGGGGGGGTCGAACCAGAAACCGGGGTTTCGGAAAGGTGGTGGGCCGGATTCTTTTGTCTTCGAGGTGTCACTCGCGAAGAGCTCGAGGACCTCATCCGCGAGAGGCGGGGATCGGCGGTTGCGCCAACTTCGCGGGGCGCCGTAAAACCTTTGATTGAAGACTTCCATTTGGGTAAGAATATGTTTGATTTCCCCTGTTGGTTTCAAAGGGAATCTATCACTACTGGAAATATGTTATTTTTTCCAGGGGACTTGAGCAAATGGAGGAAGAAGGGGCCCTATGCATTACTTGGATCTGTCTGCTCAAGGTAAACCAAAAGGAGGGTGGCTAACCCCAGTTTGTTAGTTTGAGAATATGGAAACGAGAGGTGCTGACACAGTGTTGGCCTTTTTGACCAATTCAAGTGCATTACTAAGCACTTTGAGCCCGGAAAAGGAGTCAAAAGACCAACCTCAGATAAAAGCCTTATCCATTCCACCAGTATTTATTGGGACCATTCAGTTGGAATTATTTTTAGGAGCCTTTTTTTTTCCTTCGAGTTTTCGACCGATCGTTTTTCGGATCCAAGCCCCAGGGTTTGGACTTGACTCAGCCAAGAGGTAGAAAGCTTGAAGACTTCCAGGGTTTTGTCCAGCGCAATTGAGTCAGGCAATCCTGAAAGCGCGATTCGGATTGGGAATTTAGGGATGTTGGCATATACGTCAGTTATACGTCTAGAAGCTGCCCCCCTTTGGCATGAGGACGTCCTTCCAGAGCTGCCAGTGGTTCACAAAACGTCTGTTTACTTGAAGCAGGGCTGCGCGCTGGTTACGCGCGAGCAATTAAAAATAACTGTACCGCGTCTCAGGAGTACGAGCGCTCCCGATCAGACCTGCTCAAAGGATCCATGCGGTAGGTGGACGCAACGAGTCAATGACGGAGCCTTCTAGGGGGCCCTTACTGTTAAGGCGGCCCTGTGTTGTTGTTGGGGCGTGTTGTTTTATTGTTTTTCTTTGGCAATGTCAATGTTTGGTGCATGGCTACCAACACAGTTGCTACTTGTATCCTAAGGGTTGGAGAGGCACAGTGTCCTGTTTGTCCCAAAAAGGGTCCCTATTTTTTCAGCCCCCGTCGCATTGTGCGCCGATCGCGGCACGGCCAAGCTGAAGTGGCTCAAAGCAAGCGCGACTGCTTGTTGAGTTGACAGATCTGTTGTTACAGCCGCATGCCCGGACCATACTTCAGTCAGCTTCCTTGGCGCAAGATTGCTCGTGAGGCTCAGCAGCAAGCATTCCGAGCATTCCATGGCAATTTCATGTCCTTAGCAGCTGGTTGATGATTGGGTCGAGTTTGCTATTTTCTTTTGCTCTCCGCAAAACACCTCCCACACATTACTGACGATGCACAAGAAATAGTCCCAATCCAACAACTGTGTGTGTGTGTTGAAGCACGATGGTGCACGCGGTAAACCCGCGGATGTATATTGTTGCCCGATCATTGGACCCCGTGCTTTCAGGGTTGCTTACATCACCCGTTTTACACCTCGCGCCACCAAATAGAAGTGAATTCAATGTTGCGCAAGATGGTGATGAACCACCGGCAAGGATAAAAAAGGAAACCTGTTGAACCATTGCTGATCAAGCATCACTCCCTCCCAATTTCACTCGCTTTATCTTGGAAGGATCTAGCGCCATGTTTGTCTGGACATGTCCATCAAAAGGACATTTAACTCCCCACCTCAAATATGGCCCAGTGAAGGGGCCCTAAGTCAAATTGAAACCCAGACGTCGACTAGCTGACCCGTCCCTGGCCTCGGTTGTCATCCCGTCGCCATGGAGCTCCTTCCCGCGACGCGCCTCGCGCCCTCCGCGCCGAAGCCCTGCGCTCCGGGCACGGGGCGCGCCCCGCACCCTGCGCCCGGAGCGGGCGGACGGTGCATGGGCGGCGGGAAGGCCCCAGGGATGGGCGGGCTGGGCTGTTCTCCATAAACCAGGCCCTTTACCGCAGCCCACACTGTTGGTTGCGAAATCCGTTTTGCACCTAGAAACCCCATGGTTTCAATCATGTTGGCATTTGCAGCGGAGGGCGCCCTCTTTTGCAACCAACTACAAAAAGCATTGTGGTGTGGATTGTTGGTTTGGCCTTTGGTCCTTTTGTAGAGGATAGCTACATGGGAAAATACCCCCCCAACTCCAAACCACCAATCCATATTGATAACATTGTCTCGTGTGTGGATCTATGTTCAACCGGGCTTATGGTTGAGTTTCAAGTTCTTTGGGCAAGTCTTCTGAGATGACACTTTTTGGTGGGGCGGTGCTCAAATGGCAGATGTTTTTGCTCAATTACACCAGCATAGACCCCAGATAGCGTAGAACAGATCAAAGATTGTGCCCTTGACCTAGGCCGCAAAGGCGACTCAAGCCATTCAGAACTTCCAACTGCACCAATGCCCCAAAACTGCACGCCCCCAGCATCCCAGCTGTCAATCTTGCAAAATTCCCCCCCCCCCACCCGCCACCAGCACCCAGCCGTGAATCTCGCAAACATCACAACCATCCACAGTAGTTCCCCAGATAGCTGAAAGCTATAGGGGTTCTAACTTCTAATAAAGAGGGGGAAGTGATTTGCGAGATTGATGGGCTGGTGCTAGGGGGCGTGCAGTTTGGCTGCTGGTGAAGTGCTGTTTGGTGCGCTGTTTGAGGTACTGGTGAGATTGGCGGCTGGGACGGTGCGGGCGCGGTTTTGCAAGATCGACGGTAGGGTGCAAGGGGGCATGCAGTTTGGGGCGCTGGTGCCGTGCAGTTTGGGGTGCAGGTGCAGGTGGTGTTTTGAGGCGCTGTTTGGGGTGCTGTTTGAGGTGCTGGTGACGGTGCGGCGTTTTCGCGAGATTGTGCTGTCGGAGGTGCTGGAGCACAATCGTCGGCATGTTTTTCGCTGTCTGGAATCTATGCTGGTGTAATCTCGGTTTCGTTTTTCCCCCAATAGCTGAAAGATATAGGGGTCAAGAAGGGAAAGTGATTTGCGAGAAGGCTGGATGCTAGGTGCTAGGGGGCTGGCGCAGGCTCTGTTTTGGGGCGCTGGCGCAGGTGCTGTTGGAGGTGCTGGTGTTGGTGCGGGGTGTGGGCGCAAATCCGCTTCACACCGCCTAAGAAAACTGGTTTCTGCTGATGTCATGAAAAATGCCAACCAACGTTAGGTTTCAACCAGGGTTTCTTAGGTAGTGCAGGACTTCGTCCATCCACAGAATTAGGTGAAATTTTCATGTATCCAAAGCTTTTCATCCACAGCCCGCTACTACCCACCCCAGCTCTTGGGTGAGGCAGCATCCAACCGTACTGCGTTTTGTATGCAAGCACTTTATGACTTTCAAAGCTGCATTGAACTTATGTTCGGACCCAAACCCACTCCCCCCCCCCCCACAAATTGTCTATTTGAGTCTTTTTAAGGGCGCGTGTTTGAACGGGGCGTGTTTTGGGGGGCGAGGGGGGCGGGTGTTTGGGAGGGTTCCCTTGAGCGGGGTGTGCGTGTTAAGAGAGAACCAGTGCTTTGAATCCCACCACCATCTGTCGTAGGCTGCCATTGCCGCGCTCCTCGCCTCGCGGTTTCGGCGCCGCGAGCTTCGCAGCACACGGAGGGCCGCGCAGCCGGCTGCGGCGCCCTTTGCGCCTGGGTCGCAGGCGGCGTGCGTGGTTTTGGTGGACAGAACGGCAAAAACGAAGGCCCTTCTCTTGTACGTTGGTAAGCCAAGTATTGGATCTAGAGTAAGCCAAGTATGCGATATAGCGATGTAGATGCTTTCGAGCGCCCTGCAAGAACTGCCTTTGGTGCTGACTAGCCCATGTCAGGTTGATTCACAAGGAGCAAGTCTTTTTTTCTCCAGACCCAAGTTGAAATCAGGTCTTGTTGGGAAGCCTCTTGGACTCTTAGGGATTCCATAGAACCACAGAGTTGAGAAGGAGCAGATACTGGCACCCTGGATGAATACACGAAACCCATCCCACTCATAGGGCGGAGAGTGTCGGGCGCCACAAACCGTGATATCCGGATTCCGACGCAGTTCTGCTGAATCCAGGGCTCCCGTGCGTTGCTTTCTGGGGGTCTGCGGTTTCGATTCGCTTCTTATCCCCACGACCCTTTGTTAGCCTTTGCCTTCTCATAACCCCGCCCCGCCCCCCCCCTGTGCATTTTGCTTCACCTTGGTTTAGGCACACGTTTTTTGGACATTTTATTGTTTGTTTTGCATTTGAACATTTTTCAGCATCAGCATCATGTTGACCTTAAAACTACGTTTTGGGGAATGCTTCGGGACGAACACCTTGCCCCAAATTGATGCTGACATTTCACTCACTTCATAAAAGTGCAAGCCAACTATATGATCACAAAGCAGACTTTAGACCAATGCAAACGGCAAATCAACTCAACAAACCCATCAAATCGGGTCCTTCCCATTTTGTAAACGGGGGTGAATGCTAAATGGGAAAAAACAAACAACTATACAAAGGGCAATATGCCCTTGGTAGTGGTTTGGAGGTAGTAGACACCTTCATGGCGTCATTTGGCGCTTGCCGCGCCAAATGGCTCGAGATCTCCGCGGAAATTCCATGCTGAGGAAATCTGCGAAGTGCCGGGGAAGGGCCTCGGGGCGGTCGCCTCCCGCGACGTGAAGGCCAGACTTGCCGTCTGGCCACCACTCATGGAAGTGATCACGGTGGTATTGTTTTTTTTTGTTGTTGTTGTTGTTTGTTTTCCAGTTGTCGTCACTGTTTTGGGACGTTTTTTGTCCTTTCAGTTTTGGTCACATGTGTTTTTTGTTAAAGGTTTGGTCATTTTGCCAACAATGATGAAAGTGGATATTTTGGGAGGTCCCAATGGCAAGGGCGGTTCGCTGACCAAACAGCACTAGTCTTTCTTGGGTCTTCTCCACAGGACAGATGTTGTTTGCCAAAAACCTCATCGGCTAGTAGAGGGAGCAGAGGCCGTTTTGGAACTTGCCTAATTAGTAGTGTTCTATGCTATGCTTGGCCTGGCTTGAATGTTCATGCTAATGTACCATAGCGATGGAAACTTTTTGTCAGGGTATTCTTGAGAAAACTTGGCTTTTGCATAGTAAATACCTCCTTTTGTAGTAGATGGTCGACATGTTGCCCTGGAAAAAGAGGGTAAACATACTTTCTTGTTGAAGATGTTAACGTATTGGAAGTTGTCCTTGAAGATCTTCTCATCCTCATGCCTGGTATCTCCAACATAAAACCACCACCTGTTTTGTTTGGGCCGGACCTGCAGCCTCCAATTCAGATCCGATAGGTCTGATCCGTGCATGCCAATCATAGCAAAGTATCCTCAGTCTGTTGAGGGAGAATGAACGTCCAAATAGGATGCTGATAGTAATTGCTCCCTACTGTAGACATGCGAAAAACACCTTGCTCCAGTTGGGATGCATGAAGCCCTATCCAAATTGTATTGATGCGAAGCGGATTCTGTCCATCCACAGTATCTCTACCTTGTTTAGTCGTGACTTTCACTACTCCGCAAGTCGCTTGCGGGGAAACCTTAGCTGGGCTTTGTTGGTGGTGGTGTCTCCCGCTATTTCGAACATGAAGGGTGTAAAGAGAAAACCAAGGCAGTACTATAGATGCATACCATTACATAATACGCATACTATCATAGTTACATGTAGGCTAAAACTACACCCATTATAGTTGCCGTCATACTGTGGATGGACAAAACCCGGCGCCACCTGCAACACCCTGGTTTTTGATAATTCTCCTGTAACCAACGTTATGCATTTAGTGGTGCGAGACGCAGATCTCACAACCATCCATAGTAGTTGCATAGATCCATGGTCCCATTTTTCCAGATCCCCGCAATGTTCTAGTCCCCCTTTGTTTGTTGGTCCTGGGTTCTCCCACCCATTCCATATGGTCACCTATGGTTATATAGTTTCCCCCTTTACTTCCCCCCCCCCCCATCCCCAAAACCGTAGCGGATGGATTTTGCATCCCACAGTACCTCCAACCTGAAAATGCTCATTGGAAAATGCCAGATTCCCGGGTTTTCTGAGCTGAAACCCAAGCCCCCTCCAAAAAAAAAGCCGCAAAAAGCCAAACCAAAACCAACCTGTTGGGGCGTTTTGGGGGGCCAACTTGTGCGGTCGCTTCGGTGGCTGTGGTGTTTGGGCCGTAGCGTTCTTCGGTTCGTCGGGAGGTCGGGGAGCTGGTGGCGGAGGAGCGGCCGCGGGGATCTCAGAGCGACGAGCGACCGACCGGGGCCGGGGGCGGGGGGGGGGGGGGGAGTTGAAGGGGTTGGGTTGAAGGGGAGCGCCGGAAAATGGAAAGCACCACCTTGTGTCACTTGTTTTACTTCAGGCCTTAGAATTGTATTTTGTTATACATGGTTTGATGATTCCTGTCTTGTGGAATCGTCAGCCTCCTGACTTGCACGTGTTGTTTTTTTTGTTTTTGATGTTTTGGTCAGCCTCCGTTTTTCCCATGGAAGCCACCAGAGAAATCCTTTGAGAGGAAGATTGCGTTCCAGGACTCACCAGGCAGCTTCCAGTGGATCCGGAGGGTTTTCACGATATGTGAAGCACGTGGTTCTGCCGATTCCACGGAACCAGCCCCAGGATCCACAAGATTTGGTCCCGATGGGCAACCATGAAATAGCGCGTTTCCGGTTTGAAGTTTCAGCTCCCTTCCAGTTATTGGTTTGGATTTGTGGCTTGGAGGTTAGGAAGTGGTTGGGGGCTCACCTGAAAACTTCACCTGTTGGTTGCCTTCGGAAAATTTGTTGAACAGCATTCAGGGTTGGATCCACGTCAGCACAATCATTTTCCTCTTGGTGCGGTGATGCTCATGTTGGATCGCTGCAAAAAGCAAATTCCTCTGCTCGTGTCCAAGGCTTGGAAAGCTTAAGAAGAGACAAACATGGGAAGCCCTGCTGTTTCCCCTTTTGTTGGGCAACTGCACCAACCAACACCACGGCGGTTCTTTGAGGGAACGCCAGGGGAGTCGTGCTGAGGCCCATCACTTATGTGGAGAAGTCCGGATGGGTGGAGGACATGGAGAAACAGTTCGTGCCATGGCTAAAGTGTCATTGCAGTTTCATGCTCGTTGTGCACATGTGGCTGTGGCTCAAAAAACCGGTACCAAAATGGAACCCTGGTAAGTGGAGACATGGACCAAAACCTGCGTAACCTTTCCTGTTTAATTTTGAGCCACACACATGTGCCGAAAGGAAGCTGGAAGTCCAGACGTTCTGTTCGCCTGGCAATGCTTGAGCTTGGTGGTCGGCAATTTTGAGTTGAGACTTGACTAGAGGCTGCCCAGCCTGAAGCTTGCCGCGTGTTTTTTTTCAGCATGCTCCAGGTGATTTGCATCCAGGCCCCTCTTCAGGGATATGACGAGCTGAACCCATGCTTGGATAAACCCGGCCCCATTCCACCATCTAGCTGAAGCGGAGGACAGTTAGCCTTGTTGGGGAATCGGCGGACCTTCCTCTCCACGTGGAGAGCCACCTGCTATCAACCTGGATGATGGGTTTTGGATAGACATGATGCCATACATGTATTGTTTAGTCTCGACGCTGGCTATGACGTACTTTTATCGGGGTTGCATTGGTTGTATCATTATATCTGTAGCATAGCTAAAATGCATGCAATGCCCTAATGCTGCACTACAGCGTGGCGTCAAGCTCAGGTGTTTGGCAGGTTCCCATGGGATATACATATATACAATAGGTAGGGAATATGAGAACGACTACCTAGGAAGCGCTGCCAGGTTCTGTATGGAATGATGCTCATATTGCAGCGACGCTCACAAGACGTGAGATCCCTTGTGTCAAGGGAACTGCCTGCAGGTGTGAATTTTGGAGGCAGAGAGACTGACTGAACTGCCATCAATGTGTGAAGTCAGTACACGCCCGCACACAGACGGGATTTTGCTCCTCCACAACGAATACCTGAAAAAGGTTCCACTGCCCGAATCGACTCGCTGCAAGGGAACATGCGAAACATATTGGCACCCCCGTTTTCCCTTCGGTATCCCCTGACGCCTCTGTGCTTTCAGGCGGCGCTGCCTGCTGATACCCAAAACGCGCTCATGGCGCTGCATGACACGGAGGAGGAGAAATCCTTGAAGGGCATCTTCAACACCAACAGCTGCTGGTCAACTAAGCCTCGGGATTGGTGGCTTGAGGATTTGAACCCCTGGCTCTTGAAAAGGTACGTGGCCCTGAGATCCAAATCACCGGGCAAAAAAAACACCCTTTAAGGGATTCCTCACTTCCCCTTTTGGGAGCCTTCAACAGTGGCAGTTTCAATGGGCTTCCTCCTGACCCCTCATGTAAGATGGGAGTGCCCAAAAAAATGGAGTTCCATCCACAAAGTGTTTCTGTTTCAAAATCCCATGGGCATCTTCCAGGGCATCGTGAGGACTCACCAGTCAGAGGAGACTTCTACAAGAGAAAGGCTCCGTAAGGGAAACGCCCCTGACGAGCACGGTCCTCCTCATTTAGAATCCGAAATCGGCAGGTTCAGGTACCTCTCAATCGGTGGCTTGGGGGGGTTCAACCCCATTTCTTCACCAACCAGGGACAAGGTGGTAGAGGTGGTTAGTTACATTTTGAGAGCTTCTCAACATTTTTTTCGGGCCCCGCGGCCCGTGTGCTGTAAGATGTCAGCCACAGGGTATGTCCAGGGACGCGACTTTAATGGGCCTATTGTTCTTTGCATGTGTCTTGGGCTTTTGGTTGTTTGGTTCTGTTCATGTTTACCGGGGGGCTGCGGAAAAAAAAAAAAGAAAAGCAAAGTGTTTTTCTACCATACGAAGAGTAGAGATGGTACTTACTGGTACTCTCTACTGCTGTTGGGTGGGATCAATAGACTTTAACTTTTTGGATTACCCTCATATTTCCTTTTGACCTGCAAATAGTCAAACTTTTTGTTGGGGGATCTACAGCACCCAATTACTTGCCAGGTTTTTCGGGTGGGGTGATAGACACCCTTGAGGCATCGGCTGCTACAGCAGCGCCTTGGACGGCGTGCTGTGCGTGGTGATCAGCCGCTTCAACCACAGCTGCTTGCCGAACTGCGTCTTGGGCTCGAAGATGAAGCCGGGGGAATGCTGACCCAGGATTCATAAACCCGTCCCATTATTAGGGGGGTGAAAACCCCTCCAAAAGCGGTCTGAATCCAACCACGAAAAGGAATTGGACACCCCCCGATCAAAATCAACCAGGGGTTCTACTTAGATCCGGGGCCAACATTAAGCAATCAATTACTCCCAGCCAAAAAGACTCTGTTGCCCAGTGGTGCCCTTTTCCTTTTTTGGGGAAGGGTTCCCCTTTAAACTCAAGCAATAAAAGGAGGGTGCCCTGGTTTGTTCCCATGGCCACTGGGCATTTGAGAAGAGATTCCTCTACAAATGAGGTTGTTTTGTGGGTTTCATGTTAATCTGTACTCAAGCCTTTGCGGAGTTCCGGCAGTTTTAGCCGTCCTTAGGTTATCCCCATAGATGTTTCCCCCGTGGGCACGTGCGCTGTTGTTTTGTGGGGCTGTGGGATGCAACCCAGGCGAGCAAAGCTGGGACGACGACCTGTTCCGGCAGCGGCTGTTTGCCTGCAAGGCACGCATGAAGCGCCTCCCAATTTCAATGTATGAAGATCTATAACTCAGTTGCCCAGCGGCGCCCTTTTCTCCTTTTTTTGGGAAGGGTTCCCCTTTAAAGTCAACCAACAAAAACGGCTACTGGGCATCTGGGACAAAGTAACAACCCTGGTTTATTCGCAATGCGGTTGCTGTATGAAACCAAATGTGCACCCTGTGAAGCCTTAGCTTCTCAAAGAATGAATGGTTGATTAAGGACCAGCACAGTCAGTCTTTGGCTAGACCATCTGTTGCCAGTGGAAGGCAATGGCAGTGGGGATGTCCTTTGAAGGCTACCTGTTATGCAAGGCTGCATTTTGCAGGGCCCAAAATCAGTCATGCCCTGAAAAGAAGCCACACAACAGCTGGATACGTCCGAACCTCTCAACTCCCCAGCAGAACGTCCGCCAACAAGTGCAAAACTATGCCCCTTGTGGGGACCTCCAAACTGCCCTGTTGCTTTGTTGGATTTTTCCGGGTTTCCCTCAGTAACTTCGGGAGCCATGTAAAGAGACCTTTGGACATCATTTTAGCTACTCAGAGAGAGACCGGCCAGAATCTAAACATTTCAATTTTCACTTCGGGCGGGCCACAAGCTGACATTGTTCTATTCTCAATTCCCAGGAATGTCAAGGAACAAGTCTGTTCATTTTTTTTGTTTTGAATCGGGGATGCTGGGACAACTGAGCTTTCGGGCTATTAAGATCCTGTTTAGTTTGTCTTTTGCGCAGGGGATCTGGAGAAACCAGACCCTTAAAGGTGAATTGGTGTGGGATGAACGGGCCCCCAGGTTCCCGTTTCCGACCCTCACCGAAAGGGATTTCACCTCAAAAGCGACCCCACTTAGTACATAGTTGCTATCCCAAGTTAAGTCTCCCAAGTGGCGGCTAAGACGTACTGGTACGATGAGTCACACTTCGGGTACTTATAAACTGGGGACATCGATTACTACCCGTCAGCCGAGTCCATGCATGATGGATTTGTATTTTGAGGGAACCTCCAGACCAAGTGGTTTCCCTTGGTTTCCCTTCAAAGCACACCCGGAGCCGGCAGTAGAAGAGGGTTACCCCCACTAGCAGGGTTGCACTTTTGGACTACCCCAAGATAGACTTAAACCCAGCGGTTCTCCTTTGGAAGACCAAAAAAGGGTTCAATTTAGTTCCAACCAAAATAACCCAACAAAAGGATTCTACGATAATTTCCGCTGCCCCCCAAACCACTGCCCGCAGAGTAAGTTGGGATATACTCCGTTCCCTTCAAAACACACCCAAGCAGGCTACCCTCAAAAACACCCCCACGACTGTTGGGGAGGGTAACCCCAACCAGGATATCAAGAAGGGCGAGGAGCTGTGCTTCTCCTACGTCGAGCCCTTTCTTTCCTTCGCGGAGCGCTCGGAGATCTTGGAAAAGCGCGCCTTGGCCTGGAACAGACTCCGGGATTTTCCAGCGTGCCCAAAAGTTATCTTATTGGATTGGATTAAACATCGCCTTTTGCGCCAGTTTGAGGTGAGTTTCTTGTTTTCTGTGGGGTGATTTTAAAAGAAATGAAGGACACCCTTTCCCCAGCCGTACGTATCATTGCGCTTTTCGTTTTTGATTAAATAGAGTGGTTTATAGATATTCATTCTGACATTTGCAGCCGCTATCGCAGCAGCCAGAACGTGTTGTCTTGGTCCACCGACAGGCGTCTTTGCTGCGCAGATCTGCTGCAGGCCTCGAAATCAACTTGTACTTGTTTCCAGTAGCTAGTTGTTGGTTGGAAGCGGGCCGGACTCGGAGCTGTGTCCAAATTTTCTAAGCGAGCGGTTCTGGGTTGGTCGGGTGACAGAATCTGAAATGTTGGAGGGTTTAAGCGGAGGGCTCCCCATGAAACAAATCCAAACAGACACATTCCGAAACGGGCACCCACTTTTGGCACCAACAACTTCATTTGGTTAAGAATATTTTTCCCTCTTGGTTTTAAAGGGAATCAATTTCACTTCTGGAAATATTATTTATTTTTTCCAGGGGACTTTTCAGCAAATGGGGGAGGGAGCCACCCCCTTTCCAAAGAATGGAGCCAGCCAACGAACGAGGTTGGTGTCGCCTCAACAACTAGGTCCCCCAGTAGTGCCCTTTTACCGATTCTTTTTTGCGGGAGGGTTCCCCCTACTAAAATGGAGGAAGACCGGAGGGAAATGCGTCTTTCGCGTTCTTCGCTCAGCCGCGAGGCTACGTCTTCCGCTGCGACTGCCCGGCGTGCACGCGCTCAGGGGAAGCGCTGCGGCAGAGCGACGCGCGGAGGCGGCGGCTGGGGCAGCTGGTGAGTCAGCTCAGCCAAGGCCTGGGCTGGGCGCCGGGCCGGCGGAGAAGCCCAGCTAGGGGCACAAATTTCTTGGGCTGTGACTCCAAAATACTTGGTGGCTCCCAGCCATCCGGTTCCTTGGCTTTTGAGCCTTTCAGTGTTTAGCAGAGATTTGCATTTAACCCAGTAAAAGTTAAACTTTTAGCGAGGGATGTGAGGACAGTACAGAATAAGATCCAACAATTTGTTGGTGGGCTTTTTGGTTTTCTCCACAAACCACCACTTAAACCTCTCGTTTAAATCAATGTCTTCCCCTTTCAAGCCTAGGCAAACTGCCCGACATTTTACCACAGGTGCAGCCGTGGGCCTAATGTTGTGAACTACGAGCCACGCGAAACCAACACAAGAAGTCATATGTGTTGTTTTTCCTGCGCAGGAAGGGCAATCCAACACGCCAACTTCAGGGTGCTGCTTGACCCGCAAAACACACAAACGGTTCTAGTTGAAACAGTATTTATAGCACACAGGAATTACCGGGTCCACGCAAAACTGGGGTCATTATTTCGGCTGCCTCTAGGGGCTATCAAAGTCAGTACTCGGAGCTGTTTCAATTGAACCTACCACTGAGAGGGTGACTCTGATGGTAAAACCATGGGGATGTCCAACAGTTCCAGCGACATACCCCTTGGTAAATACCGCAGAAGCCCAAATGACATGGATACATCGAAGGTACAAAGCCAAACGTCCCAATGAAATACCAGCCAGCGCCTTCAGGGGGCACGTGGCGCGGAGTCTTGGGCTCAGCCAGGTGCGAGCGCAGATGCGGAAGGAGGAGTGGCGTTGGCGGAGGAGCAGCGGTGCTAGGGCGGCGAGTGGGCTGGGACCCTACACCCTTTTAAGGTGACAAAGTGGTTGTGCTGCGGATGCACGAAATCCATTTCGCACCACGAACTGAAACCATGGTTGAAACCCTTTTTTGTTGGTGTTTGCAGGGGGGGCATCATTCCAGGGTTTCTTCGGTGGTGCAGGATTTCGCATCACAAAGATAGCTCATTTCCCACGGCCATTCAGGCTGTACGTACCTCCCGATCATGTTGCGAGGCGTGTTCCCCTTTCAGGTAAGATGATATATACGTTATGAACCCAGGAAAATATCTACTGGGCCCTGGGCAGTGTGCCCAAACATACGGCCTTCTGTGATGTGTGCCCAAACATTCGGCACTCGCATTCCCCCAAAAAAGTGCCCCATGGAAGATGGGGACTGTTTGGTGACTCGTTGAGCCTGTGTGTGCCCAGCTCGCGCGCGTCTCAGCCACGGATCCACCAAAAAACTCGGCCGTCGCGACTTCGCCCGGCGGAGCGGGGCGGCTTCCCCTTGCAGAACGCGGTGGATGGAGCCATGTCCCTTCACAAGGCTGGGGCTCGGGTGGCGCAATATGTGTTGTAACTTCAACTTGTTTAAGAATAGGTGTTAGTTATTTATCCTGGTGGGTTTGGAGAGAATCGATCACTACTGAAGACATGCGTTTTTGCATCAACATGTCAGCAAATTTATCGGCTTGGAGGGCTGCGAATTGCGGGTTCCTGATTGAAACGGCTGTGGGATCGTGTGTTGATACTTCCGCGGATGTGTGATCGCGTTTTCAGGGTAGCGGCTAGGGAAAATGAGTTCGTGACGCCACATGCGGGGTTTCCCTCGAGCATCGACTCTGGATGCGTGGCTTCACTATGTGAAACCAGATGTGAAATTTGGAGGTCAATGGGAGCTGTCTATGCCAGCATCAGCCCAGGATATGCCCATCAGGCCTTAAGGGATTAATAGGTGACATACCCCCCTCCGTCCGCGGCGAACAGGTTCCCTTAGATGTTAAACCGGCTTATGCGATCATAACTGGAGTTTGAACTGTAAGACTGCTAAAGTCATGGAGAGCTTGGCCTCCTGCCACCACTCGGATGTTAACTCACGTTTTTTTTTTTGTCATAACTAGGGTTCCTTTGCCTATACTCATGGTTCTGCATGTCTTATGGCAAGCTCAGCTGGGGGTAAAAAACAAGCTCACCCTGACAAAGATCCTTTGGATCCAAATTATCATTTCAGGTTTTGGAAATTTGTCAAAATTTCAGAAATAAATAGGGCGGGGGGGGGTGTAATCAACCAGAGGTTTATTGATCCGGGGTTCCCATTAGACGGTTCCTTGGTTCCTTGCCATAAAAATGCAGATGGTTCTGACCTAAGTGGGTAGTTCCCACCATCCGCCGATCAGCCGATCAGAAGCTTCGGCAGGCCATTTGGCTCTTCGGGCACGTGCACTGTGTGATGGCCATCGGAGTTCAAATCCACTGCCGCTGGCACTGAGGGCTGAGGGTCTGGGGGCGGGGTACGGGGGTGCGGGTGGCCTGGAAAAGGAACTGAGATCCCAGACCCTTGGTCTCCTTTTTGCGGGGTTGTTTTGTTATTGGTTGGTTGGGTGGTGTGTGGAGTGGGTGGGGTTTCTTCAGCAACCTTTTAAAGAAAGCAAAGCTCTAAGGGTTCCATTAAGGCACATGTCCAGATAAATCAGTGTTATTTTGAACCATTCTGGGTCATTTCCCAAGGGTGCAATCCCGGGGTGTAATACAAAAACCCTTGCAAAAGCCAGTGAAGTTCTCCAGGTTGAAATCCACATCGAGTTCATGTTGAAAGCTGTATTGCTTCCTGTGATCGTTTCCCTTGTCATGGTTGTTGTTGGGAAACATTTTACATTTTTGGTTATTGTGGTTTAGTGAGAAAAACTCACTTAACTGCTTGCTCCCCTTTCAACGCCAACCAAGTTGTTTGGCGTGAGCAAGCAGCGTTGCCCGGAAGCAAAGCACGAGGCGCAAAGATGTAATGCATTGAGCCAGCCATAGGCGGGGCCCGGAAGCCTGCGGGGTTCCTCGTAGCTACCTTCGAAAGAATGCTAGGGCTCCCTAGAAGACAACAACCGCGGGGATCCCTTTTCGCTACATGTGGCTCAGCACCAAGAGACTAGGGCAGATTCTGGATGATACATACATTTGTTGTTCCCGTTTACCCTTGTTTGGGGTTAGTGTTTGGTATCATGTCGCATCTTTGCCCTCCACTAAACTGATGCTACGACATAATTCGTAGGTTTAGGGTTGAAGATTGACGAGAATGATTCTGCTGAGACTTTTGGGTTGGACCCTGCCCCCAGCCACTGACAGTGGATTCAGTGGATGATGGACATTTAGATCAACCACCACTAAAATGTTCCTCCAAGTTGTGGTGACTGTTCGTGTTTGGTGGCAGGGTCCAACTTTTGGGCCCAGTCCTGCCCCTCCAAGGTGACCAGGATGGCCTTAGTTACTTCGCGCCCATGCGGGTGGTGCAGCCAGACGTGCTGCTGGCACTACAAGGGAGGCACACCCCGGCTGGGAGGCGCAGCCGGCAGTGAGGGGGATCGGCCTCGACTTGGTGTTTTGGACTGGTGTGGTTTGTTTGGATTCGTACCACTGCCCTCAACGAGCACAAACGGGGTCAAATCGCCAGCCCACCAACTGATTGATGTGTGGTATGGTTGGACTTCATGCTTTCACTGTTGGGTGTAGTCACTTGAATTGTGGTTTCAGCTTGTTTCCTTGCAGGCTTGTTGTTTGCTGCTAGGTGCTTGCTTGTTGGCATGTTGGCTGGCTGGATCGATGCGTTTGATCGTTTGGTCAGCGGCGTGGGGTGATGTTTCTTCCACTGCTGGTGTGCCCATGCTGAACCTAGGCGTGCTCATCTGAGGGCTGCCGTTGCGGCAAGGTCTCATGCTGGGGCTTTTGCACTGGTTTTGGCACGTGTGTTGGTTGTTTAGACATTCTGTTGCCATTATTTGCCAATATGGCAGTGCTTGGCAAGCTTGCGTTTTCTGACTCTTGGCTTTCCCAACTGCTTGTGCATGGTGCGAGGCGGCTAGATCAGAGGTGCTTGGCAAGTCTCAGACGCAGGTCGTAACTTGTTTTGTCAGAGCAACCAGATTGCCAGCAGCCATGCGGCGCAAGGAATATAATCTTGACCGCATACTAGTCAACCCCAGGTTTTTGGTTATTATGTTTTTATTTATTTATTTATTTTATTGGGGGGTTCTGTGATGACTCCCCACTAAACCCAATGAGACCCCCGTATTGATAAACTGGTTGGCTGGTTGGGGCTAGTGAGCGCTCGGAGCTCGGAGCTCGGAGCTCGGAGCTCGGAGCACGAATGAGGTCCGAGCTGCGTAGGGGCTGAATGATTTCGCTGACATGGGGCACTCCGTTGATCAGAGCTGAGTCTGGCAAAGTGCCCCACCATGTTGTTCTAATGATGTGAGCCCTTATATGACCGCATGTCGGAGCGGGCCCCTTTTTGGCAGCCTTGTGAGTTTCCCTTGGTAGGGGGTGATGTTTGAAGAGGAAAGAACGGGACACCTCACCCCTACCTGAGGTTGCATGTTCAATCGGGTCTTTAGAAAATGGCAGGAGCTTCTGATACCAGGGTCGGTCCACCAAGATTTCCTTTAGTTCCGTAAAACCAATCAATAAGTGCCCTCCGTTGCTTTGTTTCATGGGGAAGCCCGAATCGGGGTCCCGCCTGTTTCCTTGCAAAACCAACCAACAAAACTTGCTGGTGCTCAGCAGGAAATCAGGGAAGAAGCCTTACTTATAATGAATCCTTTGTGGTTTCCTTTAAGGGAATCCCCAGGTTTATTCCCTCATTCCCTATCGCACCGATCGCAAGTTTCTGAAGTGGTGCATTGGATGGGTTTCGCAACCAGCAACCAAACCAATCAACAAAACTGGCACCTCAGTGCCACAGGGTTGGAAGTTCACCCTTCTAGGTGAAATCAGCAAGAGAACCGACTAACAAAAAACCATAGGTGGTTCTGCCATAGGGGTTGGTTTGTTTTCCTTGACTCAAAATAGACCAAGCAAATAGGACCCCCAAAAACCAGCAAGACAACCATAAAGGGAAAACCAATAAACCAAAATAGGAAGCCCAAGCAAATCAGCCAACAAAAGCAACAACTGGGACTCAAACTGGGAGAACCAACAAACACTAAAAAACTAAACAACAAACAAAAAAGGAAACAAAAAAAAGGAGAACCAACTGACAAGAACTCGGACCTCCAGGATCTTCGTGGCCTTCCAAGCCGACGGCCCGGGCGCCTTCGAGGCGCTCCACGTGGCCCGCGCCCGCGCCGTGCGCCTCGCGGCGCCGAGCGGCGCTGCGGCGCCGAGCGCCGCGGCGGACGGCGACGACGCGGCGGACGGCGCGGCGGGCGGCGACGTGCGGCGGGAGATGGCGAGCGCCTGGGCGGCGAGATTCGCTGTGGGTCAAAACCCATGGGATCCCATTTTGGGGTAGGTGCACCGCCCATTTTAGTCTACTTTAGTGGGGGTTGGGATGTTGAATGGGGTTCCAGGGTTTGGTGCTCCTCCCTGCAAAATGGACTTTGAAGTTTTGAGGTGACCCGGTTGGACTACTTTGAAGCAAGTACAGACAGTTCGAGCTGTGATTTGCAAAGGATTAGCATGGGAGAGTTGGTGGTGTTTGGTATTGAGAGCTAGCAGGCTTCCTGCAACCTGCTTGGGCTGGCGGTGGTCAGTGGATTCCCCTTGCCAAAGGATCGCCCTGAGTTGCATTCTTCGATTTTTGGCTGTTCCAAAAAATGCAAGTTACAATTGGTGGTTTGGACTGGTGGTTTGGCAGATTGACGCCCTGGAGGGTGAATGGGAACCCTCATCTAATGAATCCAAACCACCTTTTGGCGGGGAAGCTGAAGAATGACAGAGCTGCGTTTCCCACGTTTCTGGGTTCGGTGTAATTCAAGGCATGAAAAACGAAGGGACCAGGAAAGGCAGGAAGGCCGCAACGGACAGCACAGGAAGTGTTGGTCTGACTGACTTTCTTCCTCCCTCATTCCCGCTCTTTACCCGCCCCTGCTCGTCAACATGATGCCAGAATGCAAAGCTCCTTGTGAAGCCCTAAGCACGTGGATGGCGCTTGTGGATTGTAGGGCCAAGCGCAGTTGTAGAACTCCCCCCAAATCCGAAGTTTCGGCCAAGCTGTCCAGCGGTGATGCATGTTAGCCTTTGGCAAACAAAAAACTGACTCCCAAATCCCGGCCTTCGTTTCGAGGGCAACCCAACGGAAGGCAAGCGTTTGTTTGGTCGCCCTATTTTGACGCATACCCATATATCTCATGGTGGCCCCTGATGAATAGACCCCCCAGAGATTCTTAGCCACCAAGGGTCCAGGAACTCCAGGTTGATAAGGGGTCCCATACGTTTTCACCCGAGTGAGTTGGTAGATGGTAATTCCGGCGGGGGGGGGGTGGTAAGTGGTTGCAGAGGATGACGAAACCAACATGGGTGTCTGTTTTTTGCAGGTACCTGTTCTTGTTTCTATTTTGTGTAATGATCTTTGTGGGTATCCCTTCAACAAAAAGCATTATGCCATCTAGGCGACCTCCAAATAATGCCGGCTTTCCTTTGGGTGTCGCTTTGAACCCCCCTTCCCTCCAAAAAAAGGAGGGTATCAACTCCAAAAAACAACAAGATCCCCGTTGGTTCAAAATAAAGTTGGGGTGGGTCGGACCCTAAAATAAGTCATCTATTTTATTTAAGTGCAACCCCCTTTTTTCATTAAGACTCATTTTAACCTCTGTGAAAAACCTTTCAAGGTTGGACTGAACCCATTTCAAATGAGCATGAGGTAATAACGTAATAACCAAGCAAAGACAAACAACATTTACTCCTGTTTTTTCTTTCGAACCGCAAAATGCCGGGTTTTCCTTTGAACCGCATCCCTTTGAAGCCACCAAAAACGGGTACCCAGAAAAGGAATAAAAAAGGGAAACAACCGACGCGACGTTTTGTTTTCCGCAGTGGCACCTGTCCGCAGCTCAGGAGCCCTTGCGGCCAGCGACGCGACGGCGCTGGGGCGTGTGCTCTACCACTGCCTCGAAGCTCGGCTGGGGGCGACGGGGTATGGGGGCAAGGGACCCCCCCCAACAAAACCAAAAAAACCACAGAAAAAAAGGCCAGACCGCGGGAATGGCGATATTTTCAGCCACGCAAAACGGCTTCGACCAAACTTCCGAGTTCTTTAGAAGCATGGTTCCTCAAAGAAACCTTAATGGGACATCCCCGTGCGCATGTTCTGTTTAGACCTTACATGAGGAGTATTGATTGAGTTTTCTTTGACTCGGAGCAACAGGGCTTTCCCAAACGTAACCCCGAATTGGTGGTTAGGATAGGGTTGGATTTGGATGGGGTTTCCCGCCCAACCTCCCCTCCAAGCCACAGAATTCGGAGGGAAGCTGACATGGTTGTTGTTGGGAAACATTTTACACTTTTTGCTTATTGTGGTTTAGTGGGAAATCCCCACTTAACTGCTAAAATTTATTTTTGGTGCTCCCCTTTCAACGTCAACCAAGCTGAAGTCTTGAAGCATTCGAAAGGCTCACGGCGAAAGCGATGAGTCCGCGAAGGCGGTCTTGTTAGACCTGGCCGGCCGTTGCTTGGCTCGAGGTGGGGTCCGGTCAACGGGCGGGGCGCGCAAAAAAGCGTCAGCTGCCTGGCACCAAAGGAAAGTTTGGGCCACCAAAAGGTTTTTGCCTTGTGACATCCCCCACCGGGTTGGTGGTCGATTGGAAAGCCGCTCCTTCCCGTTTTGCTTGAGGCATCAATTCAAGAGGAAAAATAGCAGGGGTTAACAACCCCGCAGCCTTGGCGAGGCCAAGCGGTCTTTTGGCAAAGGGTGGGCCGTTGGGCATTCTGCGAATGAACTTGATCAATTTGGCGGTCAAGTGCCCCTCGGGGCTTTCTCTTGACAGAAATTCTCACTTCCTGAGTGTCATGGAATTGAAACTTTAGACCATTCATTTTGATTTAGGGTAAACGAAAACGGTTTCTAACCTTGTTGGGGTAGGAGCATTTGAGTTGCAAACAAAGCGTGTGGTTACTTTTGTGGCCAGGCCACTCGATCGGAAGTGAGAAATGGGAATCCCAACTAACAGCCTCTAGCTGCAATTTTCGCTCACCTCTTCGGAAAGAACCCTTGTCGTCCCAGCGGATTTGGCCCTGGGATTGGTTGAACAGCCCCTGTTGGGATTGGCGCTTGACAACCATACTTGAGGTGGACTACCGTATTCATCTACTAGGTTCTAGCAAACAAATCCGGGGTCGACGTGTCCCCTTTTGAGGGTACCCTTTGCTGTTTTGGTTGAAAGGGAAGCCAAAAGGATGCCACCAATCTTGAGGATCGGAGCCGCTGACCTTATTTCATTCTGGGGATCGGCACTCCTGGCCGTAAGGCAGGATCCACTCATAGATCCTTTGAGGGCCCCCTGAAAAAGTGCATAGTTCGGATAGTATGCAACCCCTTGATTGGGATTGGTGGTTTGGGGCCAGTTCCTTTTGAAACCAAATTGGGCGAGTCACCAAACTACCAAACCAAGCCACCAAATAGAGGTAAGGTGAACTTCGAAGATTATCAAGGGAATAGGCGGCACAGCTGGGCATCGTAGAGAAGGAAAGTCCAAATTAGGGGCTCAAGAAGCTTTGCCGGTTTTTCAGGCTTTGGAACCCCGAGGATTAATAAACCCCATCCTACTAAGCTACTACGGGAGTGTCACCCACAAAAGTGATCCGGATCCCTCAAAGGCACACCTCCCCACCCCCACAAAAAGTCAACCAACCAGGTGAGATGTTGCTCTTTCAGTGCTGGTTTATCCGTGACATGGCATACATGCAGAGGGCACGTCCGTAAAGCCCGCAGACATGGTTTCGCCATAATCGATGAGTTCTGCAGCAACACGAAATCCTGCACCACCTAAGAAACACTGGAATGATTATTCCCCCTGTAAATGCCAACGAACAAGGGTTTCAACCACGGTTTCAAATCGTTGCGAGAAGCGGATTTCGTCCACCCACAGTACAAAGGGAAATCAATCTTAAGTCAAGTAGTCTCGGGCATGGCCCACTTTGAGATGGGGGTGTCCCCTATTTTGTGAGAAAGAAGAACCCATACCCCATCTCATACCACAGAAACCCCCGAAAAACGAGATCGTCCCCCATACCCCGGGGAGCCAGATGTTTGAGAGAGCCCATACCACAAGAGCGATTGTCCACAAAACGGGTCCCAACCGGGGATCCGATTCGCCGCATAGCCGCTCTGTGAGGCTACACCGGCCAGCGCGCGCTCCCTCCGCGGAGCTCCCTGGTGAAGTGCCGGGAGGAGCCGGGAAGGGGAGGCAAACGCCTGAGACAAGGAAGGGGTGCTCAACATGGGAATCGGAACCCCCAAAAATATGCTTCCAGTTGGCTAAGAATATGTCAATGTGTTTGTCTATTTTTCCCTGTTGGTTTTAAAGGGAATCTATCACTACTGGAAGTATTGTTTAAATTCTCCAAGGGGACTCAAGCAAACGGAGGTATGGCAAGGGTTTCATGTTGGTTTCCCTTTAAAACCCACCACGCCGGGGGGGGGGGGGGTGACTCAACCAGGGGTCGGCGAGGGTGACTTGACGCCAGGTACTGTGGATGGTTGCGAATCCATCCAACGCACAAACGTGCAGAAACCCGAGTCCCCAACGCAAATACCGACAAACGTTATGGTTTCAACCATGGTTTCATTTCGTGGTGCGAAATGGATTTCGTCCATCCACAGTATCAATCCTGACTTTCTGGGTTTGGACTCGTTTAGTGGCTTGGACAAAAAGTTTGGTTGCTGTGGGCCCATCCGCTGAGTATAGCAACTGGCAAAATACTGGGCAACGAATAGGGTGAGAGTAGATGGCATTATTCCATGGTTTAGTCATCCCCTTTCCCCACTTGCCCGATTCGGAGATGAGACGAGCGCATTATACATGTCCTTTATTCGCGGGATTCCTTTGCAAGAAGTGTTTGGGAGGATGTCCAGAAGGACAAATCAGGATTGCCCTAAGGGCCCCCTGGGTCAGGGTTCTGTGAGGGGGGTTTGAGCAAAACAGATTGAGACAGCGTAATGCAAGATGGCATCATCTCTCCAAGGGTTCCTTAATCACCTTCAAGGGGTGTGGCTCAAAATCGAAGAAGCGGGAGCTGCAGGGTTTAGTCTACTTTTCCATTTGCCAGGGCTCCATTTTGGTCCGATTCCCATGTTTGAGCCGCACCCACTGCGGGAATAGAGGTAGGGAGCACATGTTGCTGGATTGAAGTCAATGGAGATCCGCCCGACGCCCTCACCCACCCGATCTTTGGATGTGCGTAACCCCAACCTTATGCTGGCCAGTCTTTTACCCTCTCTTGTGCGGTTTGGGTATATCTCATGTTATGAACTTGAACCGACCTTTGCTGATTTGGATTGGCTTGAGGAATTGAACGCTTGCTCTTTTTCCTTAGCCTTAGAGGAGGTCCCCTTGGACCACCCCACCTGAAGGTGTGTTGGGAGACCTCGTGTTCTGAGCCATCGGAGCCAGGAGCTGACGCGGATTTGGAGCATGCGCAGTATCACCCTCGAGGATTTGGGGCTGCTGATTGCAAGACGCTTTAGGCCGGACGTCAGTTTGTCTTCCCCCAGCAACCCTTGGTTGGTGGTTTGGACGTTGGGGGGTATGTTGCGCATTTGGTTTCAATTGAAACTACCAATCCAAACTGCCAATGATGGGTAAACAAATCCTTGGCTTGATTGACTTTGTTTGGTTCAGTTTGTGTTTGGGTCAGCCATGTGGCTAATATGACAATCAAAAGCTGTGTAGATGAAGGTTAAGAAGGCATAGTTCCATCATAAACCATGCGTGAATCCGCCCCTTGAATTATTTACCTGGTTTTTGGTGTAGGCCCTTTTCAGAACAGGTTTTGTCCAAGCAACCTGCTCCAAAATATAAGACCAACACAAAAACAGAAAACACCCAGGGGATTGGTTGCTAAGTTCCCGGAGGATTTCCTGGAGATGGTTCAGGGCTCCTTACAAGATACATTTTGCAACCATTTGAAACATGTTGCTTTTTCAACACCAAAGTATAGGGAAACCACGACTTACCGCGCAATGTTCAGGTGTTGTCATGCATCCGGATCCCTGTAGTTCCTTGAATATTGATAATTTGTCTCATGTGCCCCAGGACTTGTGTGTCGCCCTTCATAAACGGGCACCCTTGACGCTCACCAATCGTACGGGGAGGGGTGACTACTATCCCTTCGATAAGGCCGGAAGTCTCCTGTCGAGCATTGCTCCGAGGTCCTGGTACATCAAAGGTGAACCCAACAACTGTCGAGTTTGTTGATGTGCATACCTGAACCCTCCAAATTCCCAGTTAAAAAGGGTGATTGCCCCAAAACGATGGTGTGAACTGCCTTTGTTCAGGGTAGTTTGAGGGTCCACTTCTATTTGCTTAAGAGTATTGTTTATTTGTCCCTCTTGGTTTTAAAGGAATCTATCACTACTGGACGTATTATTTTTTCCAGGGGGCTTAAGCAATGGAAGTCCAGGTAGGTTTCTCGAGGATTTCGGGGTTCAGACTTCGCGAAGGCCGCGGCAAATCGCCCAGCGGCGATTCAAGCTTGCGACGGGCCGCAGGCAGGGATCCAACAGCTTTGCGGGGCATGGTTCTTTTTTTGCCGTTTCAACGAACCTCTCCTTTTTCAGGGGGGGCAACGGGAGATGTGTTCGTTTAGCGACTTTGATGCTCCCTTTTTAGGGTGGCTTTGAAGATGTCAAAATCAAAAAGTTTTTTGTTAGGAACCCTGCTTTCCCAGAGCAAACTCAGGTTTGTTGCACGAGGTAAACTTCATCGGTAAACCGCCAAGCTGCGGGGGATACAACCCCAATTCCTGACTTGAACCCCCCCATGTAAACAAACAACATGGGCCGTCTTGAAATAGGGGACCCACACAAATTGTGAAGTGTTCCTTTGGAGTTTCCCATCGGATTACCAATTGCTTAAAAAGGCGCGCTGAAAAAGCAGACAGCCAACTCAACTTCCTGAGTTCCTGGACTTTAGTCACTTTTTGGGAAGACCAGTTTAGTGGTAATCAAAAAGTTGAGACCACTCAGGAAGTGAATGGCTGCTGCTCAGCAGAAAATGAGAAATGGAATGACCCCTATAAACCATTCAACTGGTGGTTCCTTTCTTTCACGGACCCCCAGGTTCATTTCAACTCATTCCCTACCTATCGCACCAGCAAGTCATCGGCTTTGACCAACATGGGTGGACCTTTTGGTTGCCCTGATCTTGATTCCAAAATGTGATCACCGTGTTTTTTCTTTGTTCTTTTTCCTTTTTTTTCTGGGGTTTGTAAGGGGCAAGTGAGTTGGTTTTTGCAGAAGAAGAAGAAGAAGAAGTTGTTCTCCTCTTGGTTTCCATTCAAGTCACGGAACCTGTGGGTATTTGGTCGGTATTTGCTTGGCGATTCCCAGCGAATCGACCGGTTCAACTTGGCTTGTCAGTTGTTTTTAGTTGGTTTAGTGGTTGGGTGTTCATTTCACCGACTAAAAGTTAAACTTGCAGCAGGAGATCTGAAAACGGACAGCCCAGTGTAAACTTTCTGTGGGAGTTCCTGTGCCGGGTTTCTGCGCGTTTGTTGTTTTGGTTTGGAGCGTCTCAATTCAGGTGACCTGGTTAGGGGTCAATACACCTTATACCGCCTTGCCGGCGCGTCTGAGATCACCGGAAATAACCGAGAAGCAGCAAGTGCTGTAGCTGGGTGTAACTAGGCCATGATGTTTGAGTAACCCATATTCTTTGTACCCAGAGGGAAGCCAAAAGAGGACAGGATAAGTGTGTTTTGTTTGGTTGTTTGCATTTGGTTCAGGATTTGAATCCCTGGTTGTGGGTAAATGGGCAACCCCGGAACACCTCCAAGCGCATCCAAGCCACCAGTTGGACTGAATCTGAGAACTCCTTGAGTTCCTGGACCCTATACTTGTTTCTTCGCTGTTCTTGGCATGTTTTTTTGGTTTTTTAGTTTTTTGGTTCTGTTCATTTTTTACTGGGGGTCTGCAAAAAACAAAGTTTTTTGCTACCATACCAACAGTAGAGATGTGTTTGGGTTTCGCGGTTTGTTTGGCCAATCCACTCGGGGATCGGGAGATGTGTTTGTTTGGTAGTTTTGATCTATTTTCAGGGTAGGTTTGATGTCAACACAACAAAGCAAATTTGGTGTAAGGAACGCCTTCTGCTTGGTGTTCAAGGGAAACCAGCAGAACAACATTTTCGGTTGGGCGGGGGTCCCCAAGAAAGATGGGTGTGGCTCAAAAGCCGGAATTCCAAAATGGGTTGCCCTGGTAAGTGGAACCATGGGTTACCCAACACCTGCGGTCTGCCCCGATCGTTTAATTGTGAGCCACAGCCATATGGAGATTTCCAATTTGGCACAACGAACCCCTCCTTCCCCAATTCGCTCTACTCAGATTTGTTGCACGAGGTGTTCACCTCATGGCCAGCTTTCCAAGCTGCCAGGGTTGCAACCTCTGACTTGAAACCCCCTATTTAAGCAAACAAACTGGGGGTGTCTTGGGATGACCCGCGCAAGTGGTGAAGTGTCGCTTATAAGACAATTACCCACAAAAGGTGCACTCAAACAAACGCAGTCAACTCAACTATGTGAGTTCCTGGACTTCGGGTACGACCACGTTCGTGGCGCAAACGATGTAGTTTGGGCACTTTTCGTTGGCCAATCCACTCGGGAAGTGAGAATGTTATATAGCTCAGATTTTGTTTGCAGTTGTTGACATCTTGGACCTCCTCCAACGTTTTGGGGACTCTATGAACTCGCGGTTCTTGGAGCAAGTCTTTGTTTTTGTTGTTTTTTGTCCTCTGGGTTTTGCTCATTTTAAATTTCGGGGCTACAAACATCGGACACAGTTTTCTGCAAGCCCATACCATTGTGAATCAGGTACGGCCCACTTGGTGGTTTGGATTGGTAGTGGGTGGTTGAGGAGGGGATTCCCATCTACCCTCTACAAGGGCCAGGGCTTCACTCCCCAAACCACCTCCAGTTGGAGGGAAGCTTTTTCCCCATGTTGGTCCGTTTTCAGGCCCTTGCACCAAGAGCGGATTTCCGTGGATTTTTTGAGGTTTGGGTTAGCCTTTGAACTCAACCAACCACAAAAGGATTCCCTTTTTTCCCATGGAAATCCACTGGGCATCTGAGCTGTGGTTTCCTTCAAGGGAGATCCCTGGGTTTACTCCCAAACAACAAGTCAGGAACCAACAAGTGAGGAAGCTGGGCTGGAGCTTGGCTTTGTAGGCTGAGAATTGGTTTCCCGGTGGCTTTGTTGCAGAGTCTTTTGCTGCTCCTTTGCCCTTTTACCCTTTTTGGGGAAAGGGTTCCCCTAAAATAAACTACAGAAAAAAGTAACTACCAACTTATTCTAACCTCTCCACTGGAGGACCTCTGCAACGGACCCCGGTCCACGCAGGTGGCGATGCTGCGAATCGCCGGGTTGCCGCTCCCGCGCGGCGAGGCGCGTCCCGGACGCGGCGAAGAAAGTCGCGGGGCCCTGGCGCTGCGAGCGGCACGGGGGGCGCGTGCCGTGCAACGTGGAGAGCCTCGGAGCGTGGAAAACCTGTGCTTTTTTCCACGGGAAAAACGCAGATGATGGAAAAAAGCATCTGAGAAAAGTGGTTTTTCCATGGGAAAACCCGGATCTTCCAAGAATTCTCTGGAGAAAGTGTGGCTTGGGTTGTTCCGTGGGAAAACCCTAATCATCAAAACACACAATCTGGATAAAGTGTGGTTTTTCCATGGGAAAACCAGATGATCGGGGGAAGAAAAAACAACTGAAACAAATGTGAAAACCCCGCAATCGTCGAATAATTATCTGCGAAAAGTGCGGTTTTTGTGAAGTAGGGGAGAACTGTATTTGGGTCAATGCTTGGTGCCATGTGCGTTTCGGAATATGGTTTCCCTGTTAGTTTTAAAGGGAATCGATTTCACTACTAGAAATCTGGCAATATGTTTCCCCCGCGTGACTTAAGCAAATGATAAACCCCTTTCTGGTGGGCATGTTTTTCTTCCAGGCAAGGGGCACCCGGTTTAGTATTTGCTTAAGAATCAGGGGTCAACATCCCAAGGCGCTGAATACATCCTAGCATGCGTTTCCCGTGGTCACGACTTCGTCTAGTTTTATAGTATGTCAGGCTCAACCTAGTTTTTTAATCAATTGCATTTGTCGTGTTCCATATGCTTCTTTCCACCAGCACAAAGCTAGCTTTTTGTAGGGGTTCTGCTGCAAGCCTGGTCCAGTTTTGAGGGTTCCCATTTTTGGGCTGATTTAAAGGGCCTACATTTCTTTTGTTTGGACCTTCAAAAGTAGAGATGTCAATAGAACTCAGCAGCAGCATTGCAGCTTTGAAGGGGAAGCCCAGGAAGCCTGGGTGATCCGGGAGTTTGATTTTCGTTTGACGTGAACATCAGCAGGCCTCCTGAAAACCCCTAAAAAACGGACTCATTTAGCTTTTGGCCCCAGCGCCTAACTCCGCTCTCGCCGACGATGTCAGGAACTGCGCGCGGCCATCTAGCGCGATTGCGTCCGTAGACGACTCTTGGCAGATGGGTATGGTTCCTTTGAGGCTCAGCACCATATCTGCGGGTTGGTTTAAGGGCAACCAAAGGGAATCCGCAGTTTTAGGGGTTTCTTGGTTTAAGACGCACCCATACACTGGGTCCCTTGAAAGGGTAAGGCCTTATTTGGATTGCTTGCTAAGTAGCCTGCTACCAACCAAAAACTGACATCGACGTGCTTTCCATGTATGACTTTTGGCATCTTAATCAAACCGAGGTAGCTGCAAGCGACTCATGGAATACCAAGCCCACGCTCCCCTTTTCAGCCAGAAGGGTGCCTGAGCACTGGGTTGAAAACCGTTTGTTTCCTCCTTTTCTTGCTGTTTCGCAGCAGGGCGTGAGAAATGGCATGAAGTTCATAAACCATTCAACTGGCGGTTTCCTTTCTGTTGGAATTGCCGGATCCGGTTCATTCCCACCACCTTGACTCGTTGTCATTCGCACCAACAGGTTAAGGTTTAACTAGACATAAATGTATGCTTGTTTTGTGTAACCCAGACAATGTGGAGGTGGAATTGGACGGATTTACCACGTCTAGCTCCCTGAATAGTACCCTTTTACCCCATTTTTTGGGGAGGGAACCCCCTACTAAAATATATAGACTACAGAAAGAAGGGTTGGTACCAACTTACTCTAGCCTCTCAAATCTGGAGGACCTAGACATCGCCCCGGTTCGTCGCGCCCCCAAGTATCCCCACCTTCCGCGGCTCTCGCGCCCGAGAGACCGAGGACCACCTGGGCCTGGCGGGCCCCCGTTGCGATCGCCACGGGGCCCGCGGCTGCCAGGTGCCCAACTGCCAGCGCCCCGCCAGGCGCCTGAATTGCGCGAGGGAGCTGGCTGTGGATTTCTCCGTGGATTGGGCACTGCCAGTGGAATATCTGTATACCCGTGGAATTCAAACCTTGGATTTGTGCAAAGCTTGCAGATCATGTGCGCAATGTGTGTCTAAGTCCCCCAGTAGTGCCCTTTTACCCTTTTTTGGGGGAGGGTTCCCCTACTAGATGGTACCCTTATTCTAACCTCTCTCCTGGGGTCGATATGCATAGGGACTAGGTCGTGGGGGGAAGTCATGTGAGCAAAAAAACAGCCAATGGTACTTTGTGAAAGTGCTGAGGATGGTTTCGCGACATCCATGCCACTCGCACCACGAAATGAAACAAAGTGATGGAAGCCAGAACGTGTGTGGATAGTTGCAGGGGGGCATCGAATCTTTCCAGGCTTTCGGAGCTGGTGCAGGTTTCGTCCATCAACAGTGAATCACCAGTTGCTGACTTTGCTCAGTACCTCCCAACGATCATGAAATAATATGCCAAGTAGACTGTGGCGATAAAGGCTGGCTTTTAGGTGGCTTCCCTTTAACTCGTGCTCTTCAGGTGGTAGGTGATTTCGCCCCGGATGTGATTTTCAGGTCATTTTGTCGCACCAATTCCAAGATTTGACACTCTCTGGCGTTATGTCATTTTCCCTACTCCAGGTTTAGGTGGCTTGCCCCTCTTTCCACGTTAACACCATGGAAGCATGTCTCCACATAATCCAGTTGGTGGCTTCCATGTGAGGGAGCCTTTTGGTGACTGCTTCTGGGTGGCTTTTTTGGGTGGATTCCATGTTTCCTTTCTTCAGGCGAACTGCACAATTATCCCGATCTCTCAACAGAGAGAGGAAGGAGAACTCGGCTGTCGAAAACGGATCGACCTGAAATTGCTTGGTGGTTTTCCCCTTTTTGGTCGCCTTGCATTTCCAGGTCCTTTGGGCAACTGGGGAAACGGGCGACGGGGGGGCCCAGAAAACCCTACACGTAACCCGCTTAAGGGACTTGTGAACCGGGGATATTGACCTTTGGTTACTTAGTGGTTCCCAGCCATCCCCTTAGATTTTTAGACTTTAAGTGTTTAGTGGGGGTTTCCATTTGAACCACTAAAAGTTAAACTTTTAGCGGGGGATCTGAGGACAGCCCAGGTTAGTGAAAAGAGAATCCACAAGAAACGTTGCCATGGTGCTGGGGTGCTAATCCCCGATGACGAAGGTCTTTCATACGGGTGCCGTTTTTTTGGGTGGGAGAATTATTGTGTCTTGGCCAGGATTGTCCCAAAAGGCAACCAAAAGGGATGGACGGTTATTCACGTTCAGATCTCCAAAGTTGACTTGCGCAATCCCAGTTGTCCATGAATGGTTCTTTTCTGCATGTCAGCTGCGGTCATCGAAGGTCACTCTTGATGATTTGGGGAGTCGAACCCCTGGACCTATCAAAATACCGCACCAGTTCGGCGCCAGTGTCGAGTTCAATCCTTCCATACAAACCCAGACCCACTTTGGTTGCGGATTCCATCATAGAAATATTTGGGCATGCCACCCCAAAACACCGTGTTGTTCCCGACAAACCTACAGAAAGGGTCATGGGCGCTGCTCAATCCGTCTGCCGGCGGAGGGTTTCCGGGCCAGGCGCACCATACGCAACGAGCGCGGCGCGAAGGAGCGGCGCTGCGGCGTCCACAGCGAAAGGCCGCGCTGCAACGTGGGGAGTTGCGGCAAGGCCGCCCTCAACCAGGCCGGAGGTCTGAAGTTGAGCAGCGGTCCCTACATGGTCCTTCAACATCCGCCATCTTGGCCTTCATGGTGGGCTTCTCTTGGTAGGGGTGATTTTTGTTTCCAGGGGGTCCCTAGACTTCCTGGAGGTTTTGCACATCTCCTTTTGACTTGTCCATTACTTCCCTGGTTCTGAAGGGAAACGAATTCACTGGATATGTTGCTACGGGGCGATTTTCCGCACCTGAAAGGGTTTGGGGTCGGTGCTAGGGCGGTGCCCATCCCCGGAGAAGCCCAGGATAAGCCAAGGCGAAGCCCCTGTGGGCTGCCGTATTCCGGATTACGAAGTAAGGCCATCATATTTCGTGAATATTGGGGGAACCCAAATAGCGGAGGAAGGCAACAAAATCTAGAGGCAACCCAAGCAGAAATGCAGAACATGGCAGAGGCCCGTACAAAAACGCGGAGGAGGCCCAACAAATGGCAGAAAAACCGGAGACAACCTAAGCAAAAATGCAGCCCAAAAAGAGCTGAGCTCTAAAAGGAACCCAACAAAAACCAAAGAATACCCCAAAACAACAGAGAGGGCCCCCCTTCTTCCCGACCCGACCCCCCCCCCCTGTATCGCCAGGTTTTCGTAGACGATGACCACGGCTGCGAGGGGCCTCGTTGCGCTGAACACGGCGGCGGCTGCCAAGTGCCCGGCTGCAGACGCCAACACTGGGCCCGGACGAGGAACTCCGACGAGCACGGCGCCTTTGTCGCGAACAAAAATCGCAACAGACGGACGCATGGCCCAGTTGCCCCGTGGATTCCGCCATGTTGCCCATTTTTTTTTGGAAGGGTTCGCTTCAAACTCGACCATCCAAGAAAAAAGATGCCCTTGTTTCCCCCTGGCCATTGGGCATCTGAGACAATGGGGGGTTCTACATAGTGTCCTCCAGTTCTCTTTAAAGGACTCGGTTGCCTCACTTATCCAATTGAAAAGACGTGATTTAACCTGGTTTGTCTCAAAATAGCCCAGAATCGGATTTCGGTTCAACTGTTGGTTCAATGTTGAAACCACCCAAAAAAAGGTTAATAGAACAAAAGTCGGGCTCCTTTTGTTGGCTTTTCTTGAAGCCAATTGCCAGCCAGCTGTGTTCTGGGCTTTTCCCGAGCTACATCAGGCAGCAGCCAAGTGTGTAGATGTGCGTGGGGGGCCAGTCAGGCAAGGAGGCAGAGCAGCCAAAACATTTCTCGAAAGAATGTGTTCGGTTTCCAGAATGCATGTTGATGTATGTTTGGAAATCGTTGCTGGATGTGTTTGTTGTGTTGTGTGTTGTTTTGGTTCAACCTTGCCCGTGGTTCCCGCCCAAGCAAAAATGATCGCGCGGTTCCCGATCGCCCGATCGCCGCAAGGTGGGCCAGGCTGGCGGTGCTGGAAGCACAAGGGCCATGTGTGCGCGGTGCCTGGCTGCGGCAAGCGCCCGGACCAGAGGCGCCCGGGGCGGCTTTGTCGCCGGCTTTTCACGCGGTCCCTTGAAGGATTTCAAGGGATTTGATCAATATCCCTGGCCCCCAAATGACCATGGGACACTTTTCCCATCTAGTCATTTAGTGGGAAGTATGTGTTTTAGTGGTTTTCCCCCAATGGTCATCCCAAGTAAGAAACCTGTGGAGCAACCCCCTGTGGTCCAGTTAAAGCATCACCGTTGCTAGCTGATGTAGCACAAAGCAGGCGTGTTTTGTTTGATGTATTTTCAAGAAACCCTGCTTCGAACCAGGCCTTCAACTCCCCCAACCACAAATCCCCATCACCAACTCAAGGGAAGGATGATTAGGGTTTTGGGCATGTCTGCCTTTTCTGGCCCGAACATCTGTGAGGTATTCAACGAATAAGCTGACTAGTATTCAATTCCAATAGGAAGAATGAGGGATTGCTGTTTATCCTTCCTTTCCTTGGCGAGGGGGGGGATTAATCAAAAGGCATGGATCCCATTCACTCTTTGCAGGGATTCCTTTTGAAGGGGCACTGTCACCTCGTTTCATTATGGCTTTGCCTAGCCCCGCATTTTCAGATCCGTTTTCAGACCCAAGAAAGGAGGTGAAGGCCCCTTGCTAACTCCCTTTCAACTTTTCCTTCAGACCTCATTTCAAGTGCTCCAACCAGGGTCCCAAATAATGTCGACCCCGGATTAATAAACCCCTGGTTGATTTTGATCGGGGGGTGTCCCCTTTTAGTGGGGATCCATCTGGGGATCCATCACTTTTGGAGGGAACACCCCCGTAATAATGGGACGGGTTTATTAATCCTGGGTTAACATTATGTTTCTTTTTGGCCAGTTTTAGCTTCACCACTTTTGGTTCTTGAATGTCATGGACCCCTAAGGGGGGCTATGAGAGGCCTAGGATAAGCCCGGCTTTGAGAAGGCCTTTTTAGGGAGTTACGCCGCCCCACCCCCCACCCCCTCCTTCCCCCTCCCCAGCTCGCCCTTTTTACGGGTCCATGAGAATGCGAGTTTCCGCGTGTGATGTTTTAAGGCAACATGGGGCACGTCCACAAGCCCACACCTGAGGTTGAAGGAGGCGGACCAGTACGGACCTCCTGGGATCCGCCACTCAGATGCAGATGGGCGGTGAGTTGAGGTGACAGTTGTCTTTGTGTTGCTTGTGTTGAGGCGGGGTCCCTTCTAAATATCAAACAACACACATGTGCCCTTTTTTCCCATGGCCACTCTGGGGGTGTTAGGGGCATCTTCCGGAATCCACGGCGGTCTAGCTTCGTGTGTTTTTTCAATTAAACCCGGCGGTATTTTATTCATTCTTGCTTCAACCCTATAGAAACCTCATCAGATGCTTCGGCCTGTGGTGCAACAAGTCTAAGCAATAAAGCCGGGGGTGTGCCAGTGTTTGCAGCAACACTTGCGCATGGGCGAGTCATAATTAGTGAAGAGAGGGTTTGCCACCCTTGATGTGGGCAGCTCATGATGCTCTCCGTTTGATTCGACCAAGATGCAAGTCCTTTGCCTGAGCCCAGAGTTCAAAAACCTTGGATGTGTGCAAAGCTTGCAGATCATGTGCGCAATGTGTGTACATTTGCGGAGTTTTTCCCCGGCCCCCAGACCCCAAGTTCCCTCTCTGGAACCACTTGCAGTGGTTCAGGATGTCACCGGAATGAGCCGCGGATACAGTAATATATGATATAACCCACTTCCAGGACTTACAACCATGGCAAGCGGGTCATCAACATGCAGGGTTACTGACGGTTTCCACCATCCCACAACCTGCAGCGAACGGGATGTATGCCATTTCTATAGTGACTATATGGTTGTATGTCCCAGGATTATGCCCCCTGTTGTGCTGGTAGCTTCACGGTTTTGTCGTAGTGGAAACCATCTTGGAACTAACAAAGTGTATGTGTGTGTATGTGTGTGTGTGTTTCTTTCGGTTCCCTTTCAAACCAGGGTTAAAAGGGTACAAAAGGGTACCTCAAGAATCACACTACATGCACCAGACAGGAAACCGAACGGAAAACCACAATTTTGGTGAAGCTCCGCCAATGTTTCATTTTTGTTTCCTAGGATTCAACCTGTGGGTTTCCAAAGTACGACCTTCTTTACCCAGACCAGTAGCTGCATACTTGGATGTCCATGTTTGCCAACTAAAAACCCAAAAAGCCAACTAAAACATGGATGCCCCTTCAAAAACCAGGCAAAACAACAGCTTTGCCCTTTTTCATCCCTTTTCCCCATTAACATCCACAAGGACAGGGTTTTTTGACTGCTGTTGGGTTGGATCTTTAGACTTCAACGTTTTGGTTGAAATCAAGTTGGGTTTTCCACTGGACCCCCAAAAAGTTTTCAATTTTTTGCAGGGGGGTCGTTGCAACAACCAAGAATCATGGAAAGAAATGGCCCATGTGTTTCTCCGACACCACGCCCGAACATCTTTTAATGAAAGCCTTGGAGGAAACCAGATGGTTTGGGCATTGACGCGTTCTCCTGTCCGAGGTTGCAAGCGGCACTGCCCAAAGAAGAGCGGACCGCCGCGACCTGCCGCCTCTTTGGCGCCTGAAGACGAGGGCCCCCGCCCGGGCCAGGCGCCGGTGGCCGAAACGCCGCGGCGAAAGCCGCACGAAAGCGGCGAAAGCGGACGCCGGTTTATGCCGGGCGGCTAGACAATAGACATGGCTTTCCAGGAACTGAACATGGTCATTTAGTCAAGCCTGGATCGCCAGTTGCGATCGCTTTTTTTTACATCTACTTTACCCTGAAAAACAGCAACAGTGACTTGAAACAACAGCAACTTGGCTATAAAGGAGGTCACAAAAGGCTGACCGATTCATTTCCAGGTCCGATAGGGGCAAGTGAGTCTAAAGAAAGTTCGAAAGCATCTCGTCTGAGGTGAGGGTCCCTAGGACTTTCTCCATGCTCAAAGAGCATCAATTGCTGGTTTGAACCCCTACAACCCTTCACTGCCAAGCCACCAATCCAAGCCACCAATTGGGAGTAGATGGGGTTTCTGGTTTCTCACACCCCTAGTCGATCTCTGGTTGGAAGCTCCTGGAAGCAAAAACCCACCAAAAGGACCCCCAAAGAGGCCAGGGTGCCCGGAGCTTGTCTTCCCACAACTAGGTCCCCCACTGCTGCCATTTCTCACCCCTTTTTTGGTTGAGGTTTTGGGTTCCCCTAGTGAAATAGACTGCAGAAAAAAGTTGGTACCCTTGTAAGCCTCTCAACTGGAGGACCCAGACAAGATGATTGGCTGTTTTGGCCCTCATCGTCAGGCGCGCTGCAGCCGCAACGATGGCAAGGGCTGGCGCTGCCGGCGCTCGGTCGAGGGCCCGGGCGCGTTTTGCGAGTACCACAGCCGCGAGTTCGTCCGCAAGCACCGCCTGAAGCGCCGCGTCGAGCGCGCGGGCCGCGCCGAGGGCCTTGCGACGCGGAAAGGGTAGCGCAGAAAGGCTTGCGCGGCGTGCCAGGGCAGGGGGGAAGGGGGGCGGAGGGTGGAGAAGGTGAGTTAGGTGGGGACCAAAAGAATGCACGTTGCCACTTTAGCCACAGATTTGATTGTGATGTAACTTGGCCCCAAGTGTCAAAAGAAGCTTTCACCTTGCGAGGAGTTCGTTTCATGCTGGCGCGATTCGGAGGAGCCTGGTTGGAAGCTCCGTTTCGTTCCTTTGTTATTCTGAAAGTATGCGGGAGAGTTAGGATACGCCTTACCCTTCACTTGCACCTGATCTTACTGGAAACGGGCACCCCCTTACATCCCCGTGTTAGACCTAGGCGTTTGCATAATTCTGAGGTACCCCTCTTTTACACCCCCCAACCCCCCTGCCCACACCCCCAACCCCCCTGCCCACACCCCCAAGAGAACCTCCCCGACCCCCCTCCCCAGCCCCTTGCTGCCCAACCCCCAACCCCCAGCCCCGACGCCCCTCCCCAGCCCCCACCCCTTGTCTCCTGCGTGCGGCTCAAGGAGCTGCTGCAAAGCTGCGAGGAGGAGGGCCTCACGGTGCAGGGCTTCCGAGCCCAGGACGCGACCCGGGCGGTGGGAAACCAACCGGGGAACACAACGAGGTGCCCGTCCTTGGGGGCAAAACCCCGGGATCCGGAGGACCCCCCGAGTCGGATGGCTCGGTTTTTTTGGTTGGGGTCATTCCATTTCTCACATTCTGCCGGGAACCAGGAAGATTTGTCAGGTTCTCCTGCATTGGCAATGCGCCTCTTTTTTTTACGGGAAACCCTCCCACTCCAAATGGCCGCCTTTCGCCTTGGGCTTTCCCTTGCAAAATGTCAGTTGTGCTTTTTGGCTTTCCTTGAACACCACACAACATGCTACCACCTCCAAAAGAAGACGAGCCACCCAATGGGGTCACACCAGTCCAAACGTTAACCTTTTTTACCCGCTACCCAACAGCCACACCTCCAAATCAAAGTTGGACGCTGAATTTGTATGCGGTTGTGTTCCTACCTGGTTTCTCATAGGCTTAGTAAGGCAACCGACAGGAACTGCTCGAGCGGTGGGGGAGGGGTTCTATCCGAACTGAACAATCCCCATGTTTGTTTCCTAAGCCCGGCTGGATCTCTTAGATCGAACTTTCAGTTGGAAGTTTTCACCTTGGCAGGGTGGCAGGTATTGTGGATGGTCGCGAAATCCTGTACCACGTTCAGAAAACCCGGAATGATGATTCCTGTGTAAAAATACCTTTTGGGGTGGAATGCTTGGAGTTCTAGCCTGGTGATTGCGCTGTGGATGGTTGCGAAATCCATTTCGCACAGTTCAGAAGCCCTGGATTCTCCCGTAAAAAGAAATACCAACCAATTTTTTATGGTTTCAACACATGAGTTTGAATCGACCAACTCAGGAAACGAGCTTCGTTCGTTCGACGTGGGCTCCGTTTTATTCTGCTACCCTCTTTCCAACAATCGGATTGAGGACAGGGGAGTCTTCCCAAATCCTGAAAGTGAACTTCCATTGTGAAGCAGAGGTTTTGTTGACCCCGGATTCAAGTAGAGGCCGTGCGGCCGTCCTTGTTGTTTGTTTGTTTTCTTGGGTGGGGGAAAAAATGGAGAAAGTAGGGGGCCTGGGGGGTGGTCTGTTGATGGTTGCCTGTTCTGGTTTTTATGTTCATCTCAAATCTATGTTCCCCCTTATTCGTTTTGAAAAGAGGGTTTTTAGGGAGCTTATTTATCGTTTTCGTTAAGGTAATCATTTGGGTAAATTGTCGCCTTGTTCATTGTTGGGCTGGGGGCAAACATTTTTTTCATTTGAAAGAGGTAGCCCTTTTAGTAGTTATCAAGTTCTGGGGTGTTGGTGGGTCGTTTGTTTCTTTGACGTTTATCTCTACAATTATTTATTTTTGTTCTACACTCTTGACAATATTTATATCTTCTTCCACTTTTTACATTTCCAAATTCATCAATTGTTTTATCATAAAGACATCTGTTGCATTTGAAGAATTCACCATAGTCTTCTGTTGCTTTTTCTTCTGTCATTCCATAATTATTCATTATAGTTTGCTTCACAACCATTTCTTAATATATCTTAACAACTTCTTTTTATGTGATTTTTATGTGATTGTCTAGTTATGTTTTATAGGTTGAAATTACAGTATAATGAAAGGTTATAAAAGTTTACACTGTTTAATCATATTATAATTAAATATTATGATTAAGCCATGAAATCATTGTTTCTGTTTTCTATAAATTTCAATTGCAACATGTTCGATAGTAATGATTTCGTGTCGTTTCATAGTCTGTTTGGTTTCTTCAACTGCTTGTTCAATATGGTATTGTAATGACGCTCTACTTGAAATCTTATTCTGTTTAGATGATGAATAAGAACGACTGTTGCAAATATTATTATTATACATAATTTTTGAACTAACTACTATTCCAACCTGTATTTCTTCATCATACTTCATCATTCTTAATAATTCTTTTGGTGGTTTCAACGCATATGAAAGCGCTTTATCACCTTTTAAGCATTTATTGCGAATCTCAACATAATATCTACTTTCTCCTACTCGTTCAGTGTAAATAGACGGTTTCCATTTCCTTTGTAATTCTCTTAAAGCATCACATTGTTTCAGTCTTCGCCACCCTTCACTACCATTAATGTAAGTAGTGATGATTGAAACTAAGCCTTCAGGTAAGCTAGCGCAATTCTCATCCATAAAATTATTCTCTGACATTTTACCCTTACTCATTTTTCTCTTAATATATAAGGCTTTTTCTCTTTAAGTAGTTTTGGCTAGGGGTTGCTGGTCGGCTGGTCTGGGTTTCAGGTTTAATTTAAATGTCTTAACCTCATTGTTAGATTATAAAAACTAGGTTTAATCATATTATAATTGAATAATATCATTAAACTAAATCACTCACGCTTTCCATCCACCTATTCCATCCCACCAGAATTCAATAATTCGCATCTGTCCATCTACTAGACTGTCTTCTGTGTTTAGTTTCCGTATCGCTCCCGATAAGATATAGTGGTTAATAATCATAGCATTAAACTGCCCATCTCGGTTTAACTTTTTACCACAGTCTTTTATGATGTTTTCATCTGTTAGGTTTTCATACATTTCTTTCATGATGTCAAACCTAACAAATGAGTATATTGTCATCAAGTTTAATCCGCTATTATCCCTAAACCTGTTAATAACATCTTTCCAGAATTCTTCGTTTTCATCAACTGATGGCAAAGGGTGTCTTTTGACGAAATCCTTTATTTTGTTTAACTCGTCATCTAATTCCTTTTTATAACTGTCATTATCATCATCTTCTTCGTCTGATAGCACCCAGTTTGATAAGTCAGCAATCACTCCGACATTTTCAGTCATATTTTCACTTAATATAATAAGTTAATATTTCTTTAAGTAGTTTTTTATTTTATGTTAAGGGGCGGGGTTTTTATTGAAAAAATATTTTCTAACAATTTAATATAATGGCGAGATTAACAAAAGACCAAATAATCAGCAACATCTATTACGACTTAGACGAGGGTTTCGGAAGCACACAAGCGACACACAAGAAGGCAAAGGAAGAAGACCCAACAATAACATTAGACGATGTAAAGTCTTTCTTAAAGAAACAGCCAAATAAACAAATCAAAAATTATAGAGGAACTAATTCCTATACCGCTCCATTCGCACGATATGAATATCAAATAGACATAATGCATATGTCTCCTTTAGCAAAAGACAAGAACGTTCCACAGTATGCTTTAGTCGTGATTGACATCTTCAGTAAATTAGCAGATGTAATACCGATGGAGGAAAGAGACGGAGAGAACGTTTTGAAGGCGTTGAGAGCAAGCTTTAAAAAGATGGGTTATCCGATGTCCGTGTATTCTGATGACGACGGAGCGTTTGCAACTAAAAATCACGTTCAGGATTTCTTCAACAGTGAAGGAATAAACCACATCGTTACGAAGACCCACGCAAATGTGGCCGAGCGTTTTATTAGAACGATGAAAAACAAAATTCACGATAGAGTTAGGTTTAACAACATGAAATGGACCGACGCCCTAACGCCGGCATTGAAACAGTATAACAGCACATCTCACTCATCAACAAGGATGACACCGTCTGAAGCACACAAGGACGAGAATGAAATAAATGTAAAGGTCAATCTTAAACTACGAGAAAAAAACAAAAGAAAGTATCCCAGAATAGTGGAGAACGACAAGGTAAAAGTGTTTCAAAAGAAAAGGGGTAATTACACCGACAGAAAGGAGTATAACTCTAAATGGTCTAATAAAATATTCAATATCGATAAAATTGAATATGATATTATGGGTAATAAAACTTACAAAGTAGCAGAAATAAACAAACCGCTTTTGAGACACGAAATTTTGTTAGTTAATGATTAAACGTATTTCTTGGTGTCTTCTTTATACTTGACTTGATAGTAATCCAGACTTGATTGTTTAGGTTCTTTTATGATTTTTTCATTCAGTTTTTTAACATAAATGTTTCGTTTATTTTTGTATTCGCTACTGTCTCTATCTACTTCTTTTGCTTGATAATTGTTATTGTTATCATATGTAGGTTTAATATTCAAGCTCTTTAAGATTTTCAGTATGTTTTCATTTTGCTCCAACACTTTTTCTAATCTTGGAAACAACAACTCTAAACTACTGTCAATGTTCGCTAAATGTTCCTCCATATATACTAAATTATAAAACTAAACTTTTAAAACTAAATGTTGCAATTATGTTAAATCTACTCTTTAAATACTATTTTTTCATCATTTGTTTAACAGTTTCCTGAGTTTCCTTATCGCCACTATCGGATGGTGATGCTTGCCGACCCCATTTAAAAGTTATATTATGAACATCTGTTTCTAAGTTTATACTGTCTTTAGTTTTATCAATATTCATTTTCTTATCATTTCTACTTATTTTGAAACTTGACGGAATACACGAACATTTACAGTTGCCTTTCTTTTGTATTTCTAATTCATTTTTCATTTCTAACATCTTTTTACACATTGGACAAGCAAACTCAATAACTGATGTTTCTTTAACAATTTCTTCTTTTTCTTCATCAGTCGAAGAAACAACTGGCTCGGACTTATTCTTTTTCTTTCTTCCCATCTATATTAACATTTATATTTTTAATATATTGTATTCCTAACTTAATTAATTCTAATGAATAATAACAACATTTCTTAATTTTATTATCAGTTAGTATTACTTGTTCTATATTTTCTACTTTATCTATTATATCAATATAATCCGAATAACTTCTATTCATATAAAATAATAAATATAAAATATTTTCTAAATAACTTTAATATTATTTTATTATGTCTGATGTTCCAATAATAAAACCAATAAATATAACTGATTACGATTTCAAACAATCTAAATATGAACATGTGCCAAAACTACCTTTTCGCTCAATTGTTGTTGCTTCATCAACGGGTGGCAAAACAGTTTTAATTCAAAACCTTATCCTAAATGTTTATAGGGACTGCTTCGCCCGTATATTCATTTTTAGCCCGTCGGTTCATAATGACCCTACCTTCGTT